CGCGTAGGGACAGCTCCTTGAGCTCTCTCAGGATGAGAATGTGGTTCCTGGCCCGGCCAAGGCCGATCAGGTGCAGCCTTCCCTTCCGTCCCCCTTTACAGGGTCAGCCTCCAGGGCATGGTGTTCCCACAGGCCCAGTTTTCCCCCTGCTCATTCCCTTTCAGGGAAGACAAGCAGGGGAGACCAAGGCCAGTCCCCAACATCTCCAGTTATTCTTCCAGGAGGCTCCTAGGACAAGGCTGTGGTCAGAGATGCAGGGGTCCCCTTCCAGGTCAGTGCTTAGCCCTCAGAACCCCACTGGGTCACAGACTCTGGCGTGTGAAAGATACCATCTGGTCTTCTTATTTTCATGGACAGGGAAACCCAGAGAGAGGACAGGACATTTTCTTTTCTTTTTTAAAAAAAATTGTTTATGGAATGACCATGAGATACACAGTTACAAAGTTGTTCATGATTGGGTTTCAGTCATACAACATTCCCTCACCAGGGCAGATCTGGATCTGATCTCCAGCACCACATATGGTCCCTCAAGCAACACCGGGGGTGATCCCTAAACACAGAGATAGAAGTGAACCCTGAGTATTACTAGGTGTGTTCCCCCCCAACACACACACATGTGTACACACACACACACACACACAAACACATATATGTAGTTAATGGTAATATCTGGGACTGTGTTTAGTTTTAACTTCATTTTGTGTCTTTCAATGTTTACTAAATTTTGGTCAGGATTACAGGGTCCAGGGATGGATCTGTGGCCAAGTGCCTGACTTACAAGCATGAGACCATGAGTTTGATGCCCCCGCACCAATTCTAAAGCACTGCCTGTCTGAAATCTAACTATCACAACTAGGTGTCAGTGCTACGACCAAGCAGCACAACAAGATAAAGGAGAAACTTTTGAAAGAAAGGAAGAAAGAAGAAAGAAAGAAAGAAAGAAAGAAAGAAAGAAAGAAAGAAAGAGCGAACCTCGGGCCAGAGTGATAGGACAGTGGGTAGGGTACTTATCTTGCATGTAGCTGACCTGAGTTCAATCCCCGACATCCCATATGGTCCCCATGTACTGCCAGGAGTAACTCCTGAGTGCGGGGCCAGGAATAACCTCTGAGTATCACCAGGTGTGCCTCCCCCATGCCCCCTCAAAAAAAAGAACCTTTAGGATTAGTGTTCATATAGGTTCTTCACAAAATTGAGTCACCCAGCTTAGGAAGCTAAAATTTTTCACAGTCACAAGCTGGAGGACCAAGAAAACCCTAATTCAGTGTGAGTCCAAAAGTGTGAAAAGCAGGGGCCATGGTGCAAATGCAAAAGTGCAAGTTCTGATTTGAATCCGATCCAAGAAAGCTGACATCTAAGAACAGAAGGCAGATGCCCCAGCTGAGGCTGAGGACACACTCTCTCTCCCTTCACCTTTGAGCCCTCTGGATCTGGACAATGCTCCACCTGCTCTGGGGAGGGTTATTTACTCACCCATCAGGTTCAGATGCCCAGATATTCAAATCTCTTCTGGAATCAACTTCACAGACACACCTAGAAATGGTATTTACCAAGAGCTGGTTCTCCTTTAGCTGAGGTCAGCTTACACATAAACAACCAGCTGGGCCAGGATGTGGCTCCGCAGATTGGAAAACAGGTCTGTATGCAGGGAGCCCCATTGGATTCCTGCCACGTCATGGTCCTCAGATCATCTCCAAGAGTGACCCCTGAGCACCAAGCTGGGATTAGCCCCTGAACATGACTGAATGTGAGCCAAAAATTGTTTAAAAATTAAACATTATAAATTTACAATTAAAGACTAGTGCACACAGGGGCAGAGAGACGGAACAGGGGTTAAGGCGCTCACCATGAACACAGCCAAATCCTGGTAGATCCCTGACACCCAGGACAATGGAATTTCTGAGAAGTAATAAATCCAATAACACTGAAGCTGACAGAATTTAGGCCTATGCCTGACAAGATCTTCCTGGAGCCAGTGACATACCCTGAAAAGGCTGGACCCCACAGAGACACAAACTCCAGACCAAGGCAACCCGCCTTGGCAACCACCCTAGCAACGAACTCTTACCTAGCTAGAAATCCTTACCTGGGGGGAGGTCGGAGAAACCCTATAAAAGCCACCTTGAACAAAGGAAGGGCGTGCATATGCTGCCTGAGCCCATGTGCTGCTTGTGCCCACATGGCCAAGCACATGTGGTACCCGAGCACACTCATCGCCCACATCTCCCCTCTTGTGATGTGCAGAGGCTCCTTCCACCTTTGGAGAAGCCTGCCTTCTCCCTTGCGTGCGTTACTCTCTCTCTCACTTTCTCTCCCTCCTTCCCCTTCCTAAAAACTCTCCAAATAAAAACTATTTTTACTTCTCTGCTCATCTACTCCTGACATTCCTTTCTGCAAGGAAGACAAGAACCTATAAGCCCTGAGTAAAGCCGAGGACTGACTCTCCTTTCCTGCAAAGAGCAAATCCTCACTCCATCTTGAGTCCTAACCTTACCAGGTCCTGGGGTGGCAGAAGCAGATTGGGAGAAAGGGACTGTCCCTCTCTTCTCTCCGCCTCACAGAAGTCACCCATGGGGTCCCACTGACTTCAATTATGATCCCTGAGTACAGAGCCAGAAGTAATCCCTGAGCACTGCTGGATGTGGCCCCCAAACAAGACAACAACAATCATTTAAAAACGCACAAAGGTACTGAGCACCAAGTTTGCAACAGGTAGCACTGAAGCCCAATGAGGCACCAGTGTTCCTGGAGGAGCTCACAGTGAAGAACTGAAGACAAACAGCAGGCAAGAGTGAAAGACAGCAGGACATTTACAACAGAATTAAGGGCCAGTAGTAATAAAGGGCCAGCGCAGAACGGAAACAGGAAGTGCAGTGGGGAGGTTGGTGCTGTTAGAACAGGACCACAGGGAAGACCAGCTGAGATAAAGAGGTACAGAAGGTGTCACGGTACAAGGGTGGGAGTAACTTTAGGGACAGTCCGTGGTAGAGGAGTGTGGAGAGGTCCAGGTAACTCCATGACAGGCCAGTCTGTCACCTGAGTGGATACAATGCCCCTGAAGTTATCACACTGTCAAGAACGTAATCTACTGCCTGGATCAGCCCCCAGTGAATGGGCCTAAAACAGAGACACTGTGAAGATTAAGACCAAAATTAAAGAGAAAAAGACACGGAGTGAGGGGCCAATAGCCTCGTGGACTAAAAACCCCCACTGTCCTCCATGCACAATTACTGCTTGGAACCAGCAATCACCGAAGGAAAAGAAACACATTCTTTGGTCAAATGTCTAGCTATCCTTTTACACTCCTCAGGGCCTTAGTTTATCAGGACAGGCAACTTTGTAAAGGGCTTTCTCCAGGGAAGATTCTTCTGGGAGAGGGTGCAGAGATAGAGCAGCATTCCTCCTCCAGGTTGAGAGGTCCCATAAACTACCCACCCTGTAGGTCTTCCTCATCCATCTACCGAGTTCCCAACAATCTACTTTTATTAAAGTTTATTTGCATAGTACAAAGAGCCAGCAAAAGCGTCAGCCCGCATTCCACAGAGCTTACCAACTAGAGAGGCAGGCTGGAGCAGATGGATTCCTTGAAGCTATAGGACTGTTTATCCTGAGCGCAGCGTGCAGCGCCAACCCCTCTGTATTGGAGGGGCACTTCAGAGAAGCTTCTAGTTATTTTCAGATTCACTGGAGCTGATAGCATCTAGACTATTGTGTGCATTTCTGATTGACACCTGAGAGGTACTGATTGCAGCCAGGAAAAAAAATCATTAAGCCTCAAGAGAAGGAACCAGGGGGGCTGAAGGGAAAATAGGCTCAAACCTTTACAGAAAGGACAGAAAATTAAAATCTAATTGATAACTAGAGGGTTTCTGTGAATAACAGATAGGGGGGTAACTTTAACTGTCATCTCTGTGTATTTTCTACAGCAAACACTTTTTTTTTTTTGGTAATGAACAAACAACTCTAGACAGGTTTGTTTTCATGAGGAGCTTCTGAATTCTTTTTGAGGGGGGAAGGGGCACAGCCAGGGTGCTCTGTACTCAGGAATCACTCCTGGCAGGTGCCTGGGGACATTATGGGGTATCTTGGAATCAGACCAGCTTGACTAGCCCTTGCAAGGCAAGCACCCAACCCACTGTATTGTCTCTCTAGTTCCAGGCCCTCTAAATTTTAAAATTATGTTTTTAGTTATTTATATTTTTGCTTTTTGGGTCACACCAGGCACTGCTCAGGGGTTAATCCTGGCTCTGCACTCCGTAGTGCTTGGGAGACCATATGGGATGCTGGGAATCGAACCCGGGTCAGCCGCATGCAAGGCAAACACCCTACCTGCTGTCTGTGCTATTGCTCCAGCATCAAAATTATATTTTCTAATATCAAAATTTGACTGACATATGGTGGGGTTGGGGCGGGAGCGGAGTGATAGCACAGCAAGTCGAGTGCTGGCCTTGAGTGCAGCCCACCAAGGTTCTATCCCTGGCATCTCCTATGGTCCCCTGTGCACCACCAGGAGTGATTCCTGAGTGCCCAAACTGGGCCTTTCCCCTGAGAATCGCCAGTGTGGCCAACAAACAAACAGAAAATAGAAAGACTGACGCAGAGATGCAGGGGCCCATGGGTGTCAGACACACAGCATACGAGATAGAAGAGAGCCCATGGAAGGGCCGGGGAAACAAACGCCATTATGGGGAGTTCTGGGTTGGAAACAGCTCATTGGAGCCTCTTGGGCTGTGCCCCATAATCTCTGTTTCAGAAGAGCAGGATATAAAGAGAGCTCTCACATCCTAAGGCCCAGCAGCATCTGGAACATTCTGATCCTCCTAATCCTAGTTCTTGGAAATATTAAAGTTTTAATCTCCACAGCACGCTCTGAGTCTGCTCTGAGGCTAGCCCAGATTGCTGTCTCCGAGGACCCACCGCCTTCAGCCCTCTGACTCAGCTGAGCCCCGAGGCTGGCCTCGGACCTGGTGCCCACCACATAGCTAGTGGCCATCTCAGCCATGGGCGAGGTGACCCCGGAGGAGGTGGAGAAGTTCCTGGACTCGAACATGGGTTTTGCCAAACAGTACTACAATCTGCACTACCGCCCGAAGGTCATCTCCGACCTCCTGGGTGCCAAGGAGGCCGCGGTGGATTTCAGTTACTACCACGCCCTGAGCATCGTGGAGGAGAGCGAGGTCATGTTCGACCTCCTGAGGGACTTTCAGGAGAACTTACAGACCGAGAAGAGCATCTTCAACGTCATGAAGAAGCTGTGCTTCCTGCTGCAGGCGGACCGCATGAGCCTGTTCATGTACCGCGCCCGCAACGGCGTCCCGGAGCTGGCCACGCGGCTCTTCAATGTCCACAGGGACGCGCTTCTGGAGGACTGCCTGGTGGCACCCGATGGTGAGATCGTGTTTCCCCTGGACATGGGCGTGGTGGGCCACGTCGCACACTCTAAAAGGATGGCCAATGTCACCAACACGGAAGAGGTACCCACAGTCGGGAGGTTCTGGGGGGCGGGTGCAGATGCGGGTGCGGAACCTTCTGGCCCCGGCACAGCCAGCGATGACTGCATTTCTGTCATCAGTGTCAGCTTTGACTTACACCGAATTTTGGGAAATTCTTTCAAACTTAGCAGAAATCTAAAGAGTGCAAAGACAACAAACACCTATTTATTTATTTTCAGATTCACAAATGGGTAGCACCTTACCACATTTGTACTCTTGGCATCTCTCTGACCCAGTTCAGAGACAAGCATCACACCCTAGGTATTCGATGCATGAATGTTTCATTTAGTTCTCTGGTGAAAGGTCAAGTGCAGCGATGCTCAGGGTGCTGCTTCCAGAAATTGTTCCTGGTGCTCAGGGGACCATATGGGATGCCTGGGATTGAACCCAGTTCCAGCACTACATATCACTGTCACTGTATCACTGTCATCCCGTCGTTTATTGATTTACTTGAGCTGGCGCCAGTAACGTCTACATTCGTCCCAGCCTTGAGATTTTAGCAGCCTCTCGTCTTTCTCGACAAAACTGCCATATTGGAGGCTCTTTCAGGGTAAGGGGAATGAGACCCATTATTGTTATTGTCTTTGGCATATCGAATATGCCACGGGTAACTTGTTGCCAGGCTCTGTCGTGCAGGTGGGATACTCTCGGTAGCTTGCCGAGCTCTCTGAGAGGTTATATAGATAGATATAGATATAGATATAGATATAGATATAGATATAGATATAGATATAGATATATATTTCCCTCTATGATTTTTTGCCCACTGTCTGAACCCCATCAAATATGGTATGGTAATTATGGAAAATGGGTAGGGAGTATCTTATGATGTGTTGCCTGGCTGCTCCTGGAATGTGTTCACTCATGTGAGGCTCGGCCCGAGTGTGTGGAAAGCGGCCTAGAGCATGGTGGCGGTTGGGTAGTGGATGTCGGCTGCTGGGGCTGGGTTTCTTGGGACAGGGAGGGCTCTCACCCGCCCCCCTCTGGGGTGCCCCGAGTGAAAACAGCCTGGAGTGGAGTCCGGTGGCATGGTTATGGGGGCCTCATACATATTTCTTATATGTGGATAGGTCTCTTCCTTACATCTCCACAGTACAATGATGACTTTCAAAAAATGTCACATTATGGATCCAGAGAGAACATAGTGGGTTCCATCCCCAGCATCCCAGAAGCTTCTCCACGAGTGATCCCTGAGCTCAGTCAGGAGTAAGCCCTGACTACAGCCGAGTATAGCCTCTCTTCTCCCCATGTCACATTGATACAATGCTACGTTTGCTAATAAAGATAGTAAATACATTTAATAAACAGCCCACATCCAATTTTGTCCAGTCATCCCATTTATAACCCACGGAGTACTCCAGTTTGTCTTGTTTCTCCATGTTGTTGGCAGTTGGGAAGGCAGGCCTTGGTGACGTCTAAGCAGTGCCCAGGGGATCCCAGAGGCTACTTCTAGTGATGCTTGGTCAATGTTAGGGCCAACTGATAGACTATCCCAAGGCTCTGGCTGCCTCCAAGGCCATATCCAGGTTCTCAGGGAGCTGGCATATGAGGCTGACATTTTTGAAGGGCCCAAGCCAAATATTCTAAAGAAATTTTCCTCCACTTGGACTTGTCCGATGGATTTTTATGATTAGATTCAGGGTAAGCATTTCTGGCAGGACTATCTCAGAGGTGATGCTTCATTTTTCTTCTATCAAGAAATGTGTGATAGCAATCTATCTTATTACTGAAAATGTTGGGTAAGCACTTGGCACGTGCTTCAAAGAGTCCAGGTTCTGTGGGATTCCATAGGCAGCTATAACAAGATGTTTTTGATTGCCTTGGGAAAGTCACCTAATCACTTCTCCCACTGTCTTTCCTGACCAATTCCTACTCCTCCTTCAGATCTCAGCTCAAAGGTTGTTTCCTTGGAAGAGGCTCCCTACACTCTCCTTCCTGAAAGACTATAAGAAGACCTGAAAGCTAGGGACTATGCCTATTTTGTTCTCTATGTTCTCCCAGACCCAGGATGCAGCAAATATCTGACACAAAGCAGTTGCTTAGTAAACACTTGGCACCAAAGACTTCCAGTCAAATAGTTATGCAATCATTTCCTTACCACCTCTCTGCACCTGACAGAATATTTTCCCTGTGTCAGGGCCTGTGAGGGTCTCCTAGCTGTACAGGCCATCCAGGGTCCAGCATCCCATTATTTCTGGACATCTTGTAAGTTTGTGCTCTGCTTACCCACATCCTTATTTCAGATTAAGATAAAAGAAGAGAAGGGAAGGGACTTCAAAGACGGCCTCTGTTTCCAAATCCCTTATTCTGTGAGTGAGGAGCCTGGTGTTAAGAGAGCTTGAGAAAGTGCTTGCCTAAAGTCTTCAGGATTTACAGAACTGGGACTTCACACCCAACTAACATAAATGATGCAGGACATTGTCTTTTTCCCTTGGGTTCAGTGGCTCTGAGCCAGAGGCATAGGCATGAATTTTTGTTGTACAAGGCTTTCTCTGAAACCCGTGAGGTTGAATCTTCACCATACCCTGATATCCAGAGGAAGGAGGAATTGGGGGATCTGTCAAGAGCCTTTCTGAGACATGTCCAAATGGCTGCAGTCTGTTCCCCCATCAATTTCAACTCCCTCTAGGCTTTCCTTGTAGTCAGCATGGATTGTCACATGATGATATTTTATGATACAATTCTGATATTACCTGTGTAAGGCATGTGAAGCCCAGAGAGTTGGGAAGCTTTCTTGGAACCTGTAGGTAGCACAGAGCAAAATATATTAAAGGGCATTTGACCTGTGCCTCGGCTCTCTACCATTCAGCTAATTCCACACATTCTCCTGAAAATGAGAGCACTGGTTTGGTACCACTTACCAGATTATTTCAAATCATATAGGACAATAATAAGATGTTAAACTGTGAGGGTAGGTCTGGGTATGAACCATGACTGTCACTTTCTGAAACTATGGTCATGACTAAGCTAAGATCATCGTCAAGACATTTAGACTGACTGGGATCATTTCCTGATTTTGAAATGGGGTCAAAATACCTACCTTGCAGTGTTGTGGAATTTTCATTTTGTGTAGAGGCCACATCCAGTGGTGTTCCATCTTCTGACTCTGTGTTCATGGGGTCCTCCTGATTGGGGGAACATAGAATGCCAGGGATCCAATCAGACCTCCACATGCAAAGCATGTGATCAGACCTTTGCACCATCTCCCCAGACTAGCTGTAGAATTTAACAAGAGTTGTTCCCCATCTACTAACATTCTTGTTGCAAGGACCTATTTACTTTTGTAAGGATCCATTCTAAGGGAAGCCCATTACTGGGAATCTGTGAGATTTGGCAAATCTGGTCTTGCCCTCTGGGGAGGGCAACTAACCTAAACCTTCGTTTAGGTTTTCTTTGTGGGAGAAATAGAGAAGAGAGATTTGACACTCCGTGGACTCTGGGGTTAGAGACAGGTTTTAGAAAGGATGTCTGAAAAGATCCTGGACTAACCACTTTCTTGTTTGGAGACCATAGCTTATCTCCCGTTTGGTTCTAGTGTTCGCTCTGGAAGTGATGCCTGTTCTTTCCTGAGAGTTCTTGCGCAGGTCCAGGGTCAGTCCTGGTCAGCAGGCTATGGACATGGTATCTCAATGTGTTGCTTTTCCTGTTCATCCTTGGAAATATTACTCTACTGGGGACTGACAACGATGGGGGGGATGTTGGATGGTACAGAAGGAAGAAGATGGTACAAATTCAGGTCTGGGGTCATCCCCAAACCATGCCATCTTTATGAAAGCTTTGCACTAAAAAATACTTATTTACCAAAAATCCAAATTTAACTAGACGTCCTGCATTTATTTGCTAAGTTTGACAGCTGGAGTTTTTGTGTTTATGTTTGTTTATAAGTAACACCCAGTGGTGCTCAGGGATTACCCCTGGCTCTGTACATAGGGGCTTAGGGGACTATATTGGGAGCTGGGGATCAAAACTGGGTCTGCCGCATGCAAGGCAAGTACCATGGCTGCAGTATTCTCTCTCTGTCCCCTAGTCTGGCAACTCTGTTTCAGTATTTGTGTATTCATTCTTGGGTGTATTGTGTGTGTTCATTTTTATAGGTTGGTTTTTGTCTGGAGACCTCCTCCTCATATAATACCTTGAGGCGATGTTCTCAGCGGTGCTGCCTGCGGCCAAATCTGGGCCTCACTCATGCAAAGCATGTACCCTTTGAGACCTTTGAACCATCTTCCTCACTGCTGTGTGTTCATATTTTATTTTGGGGTGAGGACGGGGGATGGCACAGCCAACAGAGTCATGCTCAGGGCTTACTCCTGACTCTGAACTCCAGGATCAACCCTGGTGGTGGTTAGAGGATTGTAAGGATTGCCACGGATTGAGTCAAGTAGGTCATGTGCAAGTGCCCCACCCACCGAACTATACCTCTGGCCCCTGCATACTCATTCTTAACTTTTTTCTATTGCAGAAGTCCATGAGGCCCTTCCTTATACACAACTGGTCCTCAGCACCTAGTGTCTTGCTTGCAACAGTGTGGATACTCCTTAATATTTACAGGATGAATGACATGAGATGGTCTTTCTTCTTCAATTCTCATGGTACTTATTGGGGGACAGTTTTTCTGTAAGGTGCCCGGACATGTTGCGTACTGGGTCTGGGCAGACATGGGCTGAAGGATGATGGGAAAAAAGCGCCCACAAGCAGCTGATGGCTATTCACTTTATTGCCAAATACACACATCTTTTATAGGGGGTCTTGGTTTACAAGAAGGTCCAATCACATAAAGTTTAGCATTGTTAGCCTTTCACCTTTCCTACTCTGCTTTGCCCCAGTCCAATCCCAATCAAAGGCTAGATGGTGTGGTTTGGATGACATACTAAGCATACGTGACAGTTTCTGTGTCTTTGGTGAATGTGACTAGGTGGTTGAGTGAGGCTCAAGGCCGAACTCCTGGTGCCGACACCCTGTTCTTGCCAACTTTTGCCAAGATACTCCCTTCTTTGGGGCCTCGTTTCAGGACCACTTTGCAAGGTTGGGTTTTATCTGTTCCAGTGCCCATCGCCATGCTCCACAGATATTATAAGTTTCAACATACGATATGTAAGTGCTTTCTATCCCAGCTCCTAAGACACTTAGAATTTTATGGGTGGCAAGTGTTCTTTTCTTTTAATAATGTGATCACTTCTGTGGGCTCCAAAATAATACTTGGTGGTCATCAGAAATACCAAGCTATGATCAGGCACTTGAAATTTCATTCCCCATCTGTCCTTCTCCCAAGAGAAAAGAGACTGAAAAATAAGGTTAATAGTCCATCGTGATATCACCATCTTAAACTTTCTAAAAATACAGAGTTCAGTAAGATTCCAGGTTAGTGAATCTTGCTGAACCCTGTATTTTTAGGAATCTTGTACATCCCTTGCCAAGCAGGCAATGCACACCAACTCATGGGGACGGTAGCATCTGTACTTGGGATCCTTCCAGATATTGTCCCATGCATGTCTTTATCTGACTACTCACCTTATAGTTTTTATTTTACATTCAATGAAGAAACATAAGGAAGTGAACCCACTCTGGATTCTGAGCTATTTTTTACAAATTATTGGCCCCACAAAGGGGTTCCTGGGAACTATAGCTCAGAGTCAGATGGTCAGAAGCACAGGTGATAGATAAACTGAGCTTGGTATTGCCACATGACTTCCCCCAAGCTGCTCACTCGATGTCTGGACTTTATCTATGTGTTTCTTTGGGCTTTGAGCCACACCCAGCAGTGCTCAGGGCTTACTCCTGGCTTGCACTCAGGAGAGTGGGTTGAGATCAAGGAATCACTCTTGGCAAGCATAGGGTCCGGGGACAACTCAGGTCAGCTGCCTGCAAGGCAAGCACCCTACTCTCTCCAGTCCTGATGTCTGGACTTGAAAATAAACAATTTGAGCTAGCATATCAGTTGGAGGGTCTCTGACTCAGTTAGAACAGTTTCTATGCTGACAGTATACAAAGTAGAGGTAGTGCTGTGTCAGCTATTAAGTCCTCTAGGATTTGTGAGGAACTCAGTGGAAAAGAAGGCTCTGCTTGCATTAAATAATGTCACCCTCCGAGGCCAGGTGGGTGACAGGTAATTATGGTGAAAAAGACTGATTTCAGAAAGTGAAAGTCATCCTGTCCCCCCTCTGCCCACCAACACCCTCCTCCCCCTGCCCCACCCCAAGACCAATTCTATTCTCAGGGATTCTCCAGTGTCCTTAGAGTATGACACCGAAAATCCTTCATATCTAATGCCTCTTTTGAGAGTTTGCTTAATCCGATAATGCTGATTTAAGTAGAGCTCTACTGGCTTTTCTTAATTCCTTTACCCTTCACCTGCCTGAGAGAGGTCACTGCCAACATCACAGTGGCCTATTTAATTAATCCTACTCCAAGGGAAGCCATAGAGGTGGATTTTATACTCTGCATTTTTGAATCACTGGAAAATTCTGCACATTCAGTTCTAGATTTGTTCTCAGGTTTGATTCCCAGCAGGAACTATGTCTCGTCTGGTTTATGTCCCAAGTAATACTGGTTTTCGGGAACCCCCATGATTCTGTCAGGAGGCAGAAAGGTAGATTATTTAAGTGTCAGACAACAATTCAGGGTCTCTCTCCTTTTCCTGATCACGTAAGCCACCCGATCCTCTCCTCGCAGGCAGTTTTGGCATTTATACGTTTTCTGGAGGGTGCACACCTGAGTCCCACAGGTCTGAACCAAATTGCATGTTCTGTGTTACTATTATTAATTTATCTGTGGGTAGACCAGGATCTTATTCTCCCTGAGTCCCTGGCACAGGGCTGACATATAACACTGCTTCCTTTAAGATCTATAGCCTTACACGTAGTACAATATTCGAGAAATGGAAACAACCCAAATGCTCAATTACTGATGAAGAGATCAAAAAGTTGTGACATATATACACAATGGAATACTATGCATCTCCAAGATAGAACAAAATTATGCCATTTGCTCCCTGAAAGTCGAGAATATCATGCTGATTGAAGTAAGTCAGAAGGAAAGGAATAGACACAGAATGATCTCTTGTATGTGGGACCTAAAGATACACAGAAAGGTAACAACAAAGGCAGAATCATGATCCAGTGAGATAGTTGATCCCACAACTGAGCTTGTAGGGGGTGTTTGAAAGGAAGGAACAATGGGGTCCTTGGAGGAAGAAGGTGGGTACTCTAGTGATGGGTGTGGTGTTGGAATTCCATACACGGAAAACCAACCTTAAGAATATTTTAAATCAGGGCAGGAGCGATAGCACAGAGGGTAGGGCATTTGCTTTGCACTCAGCCAAACCAGATGCGATTCCCAGCATCCCATATGGTCCCCTGAGCACCGTCGACACTGTCCTCCTGTTGTTCATCAATTTGTTCTAGTGGGCCCAATAACGTCTCCATTTTGAGACTTGTTACTAAGTTGGCATATTGAATATGTCACGGGTAGTTTGCCAGGCTTTGCCATGCAGGCGAGATACTCTTGGTAGCTTGCCAGGCTCTCTGAGAGGGGCAGAGGAATCGAACCCACCTTGGCCGGGCTGGCTGCGCACAAGGCAAATGCCCTACCACTGTGCTATTGCTCCCGCCCCCCCACCCCCACCCAAGCACTACCAGGAGTAATTCCTGAGTGCAGGGCCAGGAATAATCCCTGTGCATCACTGGGTGTGACCCCCCCCCCCCCAAAGAGAATATTTTAAATCACAGACGCAATCAATAAATATAAAATAAAACATCTGTGGCTTGAGACAGCCATGGCTTGACTGTGTTATGCTAGAACTGGATGGCTTAAACACCTGGATGGAACTCATTCTGTTGTTCAATTTCCTGAGCCCAGTCTAGCCCATTCTAACCTCCCAGGATCCCTGAAAGGTGCCGCTGGATGCAGGTTCTTAGGTTCTGGGGTCAGTAACGGGTTACATTAACCTTCCTGAGAGTCTGTTTCCCTGTGTAAGGTGGGCTGCCCCCTAGTCTCCATCTCATAGGGTTCTGGAAGAATTTAAGTATGGAGTACCCACTAACAGTTGTGATTATTATATCAAGGTCTTTTCTGCACTCACGTTTCTTTGGGGATCTCATCATCATATCTATGAAGCTTTCTCTGACTCTTCCCAGACAAAGCCAACACACCTGTGCCCTGTCTTCGGGTTCATGGGCCTTTGCAGGCTTTTCTCCTTCTGGATCCTTAGCAGACTCTATCTCAGAGTTCCTTCTGCTGGCTTTTGGGGAATTCTCTGGAATAAATCTCTGATTGCCTTGCTCCTGCTGAAGGAGAGTGGGTTGAGAAAATCAGTTTGTTGTCAACCAAAGGATAGCACCCCCCTTACCTTCCCCTACCCTGGACGTCTGATATTCTAGGCTGTTGTGTTCTCTTTGCTTCTCTTTCCACCATGTCTGTCTCACTGTCCTTCAGGATGAGCATTTCTGTGACTTCGTGGACAACCTCACAGAGTATCACACCAAAAACATCTTGGCTTCCCCCATAATGAACGGCAAGGATGTGGTGGCTGTCCTCATGGCGGTGAACAAGGTGGATGGGCCGCACTTCACCAAGAGTGATGAGGAGGTAAGGATGTGAGGATGGACATGCAAATGTTTTTCTCCCAGTTCATGAAGTCCCCTGTGTCTTGCTTTTTTGGCCTGTCCTCAGTTTCCCCATCTGTACCACAGGGTTTAGTCTGATGCTGTCATAGAGAGGTCGGGTAGAATGGTGGTTAAGAAGCTAGGAATCAAAGGATGATTTTTCTGACAACATCTACATGTTGAACTTGGACAGTTCACTTCCTTTATCTGACTTCCATTTTCTCCTTTGGGAAATAATGGGGATGCTTTTTTTGCTTGTTTTTTTGTTTTTTTGGTCACACCTGGCAATGCTTGGGTAACTTTTGACTCTACATTCAGAAATTACTCTGGGCAAGCACCCTACCTGCTGTACTCTCTCTAGATCCAGGAAATGGGAATGATTTTATTTCATTGATTTTGGTCTGGGGGCCACACCTGGCCCTGCTCAGAGGCTACTCCCAGCTCTGTGCTCAGCGGTTGCAGTGCCAGAGATCATATTTGGACCTGCTGCACACAAAGCACACACTCCAGCCTATTGAGTGCTCTCTCTCTCTCTCTCTCTCTCTCTGGCCCTAAAATTTGAATGATTTTAAAGTATCCACTTCATGGTCTACTTATGATAATTAGCTAGACAAGATACATAAAGGTTTGCAAACTCAGTGAACCTTTGTACCCTCTTATCAACATTGGTATTTTGTATATGCGAGTGTTCACTCTGATAATGCAGCATTTTATGAATCAGTATTCTGCAGTCCACCTGCTTCCAATGAAGCTATTTTTTTGGAGAATAAGTAAGCACTTTGTTTTGTTTTGTTTTAGGGCCATATCCAGCTGTGCTCAGCACTTAGAGATCACTGCGGGCCAACTCAGGGAACCATATGGGGTGCTGGGGATCTAACTCAGGTCATTTGTGTGCATCTTACCTACTTTACTATCTCTCTGAAAACACATTTATTTATTCATGTGATGGTGCAAAACATAAATGTTGACATAGATTCGCAGGTAGTTCCCACCCCATTTGCTTGTTGTTAAGATGACCAGGGTCACCACACACTCACACACACACACACACACACTGGGTTGGGTGGCCACATGCTCAGCCACAGTGCTCTCCAGGGCTCAAACACTCGAGCTGTGGTGCTGTACACATGCTCACAGAGGCTACTCTTTTTTGCCGCACAGGAGCGATAGCACAGCGGGTAGGGCGTTTGCCTTGCACGCGGCCAACATGGCCGACCCAAGTTCGATTCCTCCGCCCCTCTCGGAGAGCCCGGCAAGCTACCGAGAGTATTCGAAATGCCAGACACAGTAACAACAAAGTCTCCAATGGAGACGTTACTGGGACCGCTGGAGCAAATCGATGATCAACGGGAGGGCCTTTTTATACATGCACCTGGCTGTGTGCAAGAGACATTGTATCCTGTTGCTGTTCCTGTGTTTCCAGAACACAGGGTTGTGAGGGAGGTATGTGGCGTGTGGGCTGCATGGAGGATGGAGCTCTCATGGCAGACACTTATTCTACTCAATCATCCCTGGGCCACTAGTCACCTTTTCCGCTCACAACTTTTACAACTCAACTGGTGAATACAGAAGTTTGTAACGCTATAGTCCCTCAATGGTGTGTTCCAAAAATCTGTTTCAAGTCATTTTTCCTTTTCTACTGATATTTTCATGATGTTTGATGAGTGAGATCCACAGAAAGATGAATCTCGAGGCCCAAGAGCAGCCCAACTTTGAGACAATCCGGTTTGTCATGTGTCATGATGCAGACAGTTGCTCAAGGCCCTGGAGGGGTCAGTCTATTTGGGTTGCAGCAACAGCCAGCCAGGTGGCTAGACCATGCTCTGCTGAAGCTTTTAAAACACTTATCCTGTGGTCCAGAGAAAGGCTCCCATTTACCTCTAGGTGTGCCTACCCCCATTTCTAGAAAAAAAAGGGCAAACAGACAAACAAACAACTCAGACATTTAGTGATGGAACAAGTGACTAGAGAAAGAGCTTCTCCTTCTCATCAATTTTCTCTCTGGTGATCTGATTTTCAGATTCTTCTCAAATACCTCAATTTTGCAAATCTGATCATGAAGGTGTATCACCTGAGTTACTTACACAACTGTGAGACTCGACGTGGCCAGGTAAGGGTCTAGACTCACAGACTGAACATGCCCTTTCATTGAATCAAGGATGGGACTGGACTGTGAGTGGTCATGGAAGCATTCAGAAGTCAAAGTTTCTGCCTTGCCTCCCTGGTCTTATGACAGTGGGGCTTGTAAAGATCAGCTCAGAGGCATTTCAGGAACCAATTTTCAAGTCAGGCAGCTGGTTTGAATCCTTGCTAAGGCATTTACTAGCTCTAAGACCCTAGGTAAGTAATTTTACTTTCCAACTTTTAAATGTCTCCTCTTGAAAATAATTATGGTTTTAAATTATTATTATTAGTCACGGTCACAGTCCTCCCGTTGTTCATCGATTTGCTGGAGCGAGCCCAGTAACGTCTCCATCATGAGACTTGTTGTTACTGTGTTTGGCATATCGACTATGACATGGGTAGCTTGCCAGGCTCTGCCGTGCAAGCGAGATACTCTCGGTAGCTTGCCGGGCTCTCCGAGAGGGGCAGAGGAATCAAACTCAGGTCGGCCATGTTGGCTGCTTGTAAGGCAAACGTCCAACCGCTGTGCTATCGCTCCAGCCCATTATTATTATTATTTGTATTATTCCAAATTATAATTCCTAAATTATTATCCAAAGACTATAATCAATAGCAAAAGAGATAATGTAGGTCTAAAATTTGTGCTCAATGTTGGCTGCTGTTGTTCTTATCAATAACCTGTGAGATCAAAGAAATGAAAATAATTAGGCCCAATATAAACTGCACCATTCTCTGAACCTCAATTGTCTTTTGTTCTTGAAGTGGCACACCTGCTGATGCTCAGGGGTTACTCCTGGCTCTGCATTCAGCAATTACTCATGACAATGCTTGGGGGACCATATGGGATGCCAAGGATTAAACCCTGGTTAGCCATGTTTAAGGCAATCGGCCTACCCACTGTACTACTCTCCAGTCCCTAAACTTCATTTTCTCTCCATACATATAAAATAGAGATAATGGTCCTTCCTCCCCTGGGATTTTATTAGGCTTTAATAAAATAAACTCTAGAGAAGCTTTTGTTTTTGTTTTTGTTCTGTTTTTGCAGCCACACCCAGCCATGCTCAGGGGCTACTCCTGGCTCTGCACTCAGGAATTACTCCTGGCAGTGCTTGGGGAACGCTATAGAATGAATGCTGGTGATCAAACCTAGGTCATCCGCATGCGAGGCAAACACCTTTCCCGCTGTACTATCACTCTTGCCCCTAGAGAAGCTTTAAGAGTTGCTATTGTTATCTACTATGATGAGATTCTGTTCTGGTCTCAATCCTTTGGCCGCGTATTTGTATTTTTTCAGATACTGCTATGGTCTGGAAGCAAAGTCTTTGAAGAGCTCACAGACATCGAGAGACAATTCCACAAAGCCCTATACACAGTCCGAGCCTTCCTCAACTGTGACAGATACTCAGTGGGGCTCTTAGACATGACCAAGCAGAAGGTGAGAACTAGAGGGTTGGGTGATTCAAAGAACACAGGTAGGGCATTTGCCTAACATGCAGAGCAACCCGGAGTCTATCCTCAGCATCCCAAATGGTCCCCCAAGCCCTGCTGGGCGTGCATCAAGTTTTCCCCTCACATGAGCCTTCATTTCTATTGACTCCGGAAGATATAGGCTATTTTTACTCACCTGTAGTCTAGGTTGACTTTTCCCTTTACTATCGATGCTCCTTCCTTTCATATGAAACACCTGGAAAGTGTTTCCCAGCCACCACATTCTCTCCCTTCTCTACCAGTCTTTTTCCAGTGTGGCTAATGTTTGGAGTCTGGGCTCAGTCCATCATCTGTTTAGTATGTTCTTAAAAGGTTGACCTATGTTGCCTTTTGCCCTCTGCTACTTTTGAACTAAGTCAGATTTAAGTGGGAATATGCAGAATAGGTATCCCTGATCCTAAAAGAACAACTCAGCATCCAAAGGGGTTGTTGGCTGCCTGTGCACACTAGGAGCCAGACTGACAGATCTTTAAGCTCCTACTGGCATTATTCACATTATGAGAAAAGTCAACCAAAGCTAGTGTTCTGTGATGTTTACTTTAAAACAATATTTTTTTTGCTTTTTATTTTTTTGGGGGGACATACGCCACTCAGCAATGATTAGGGGTATCTCCTGGCTCTGCACTCAGGAATTACTCCTAATGTTGCACATGGGATGTGAGGGATGAAACCCAGTTTGGCCACAAGTACTCTACCTGCTGTACTAGCACTCTGGTCCCTATAAAAGTAAAGATTTTTTGCAACCTTCACATTCAGTTACATGACCCACACATGGACTTATGATTCACAGTTTAAGAAGCTAGGGTTCAGGAACCAGAAAGATAGCACAAGGTTAAGGCACTTGCCTTGCACATGGCTGACCTTGGCTTGATAGCTGGCACCACATATAGAACCCTGGGAACCACCAGAAGTGGCCCGGGAGTACCACTGTTAGATCAAAATTCTCACCCTTAATGTAAGAGAAAGGAAGGAAGAAAGGAAGGGGGAATGTCTAGGGGCTAGAAAAATAGTTCCATGGGTCAAATTCATGCTTTGCAAGTAGGAGAGAGACCTGGGTTCGATCCCTGACTCTGCATAGTCCCCCAGCACAACTAGAATCAACCCTAGACCGTAGACCCAGAAGTTACCTGTGACTATTGCTGGGAGTGACCCACACATACATACTCTCCAAAAGAAGCTTGAGGCTAGAGAAATCCTTTTCCGGATCATTTTCTGTGTTGTGTTAAACATAGGATCACATTATTATGGGTCAGGACAGGTATATGCCTCATCACCACATTTTTCAGTCACCAATGTATCATGGGCATTTTACAGAATTTTTATATTTATTTCCCAGGTTCCCTTCCCTGTCTTGTTGTTGCTGCTGCAACAATGACCAGGGTTGCACACTTTAATTTGGGGACTCGGGCTCTTGGTTGGGGTGCACAGGACTTTGCACACTGTGTTGTGGCACCAGAGATCACAAATGGCAGTGCCACCTGGAGCACACTCAGCAAACACGTGGGGTGGTATCTGAGGATTGAACTCACGACCTCACACTTACAAGACAGGGGCTCTACTGCTGAACTATCCTGGACCCTTTTTTAAAAAATATTTTTAAAATTTTCATAAAGTTGTTCATAATAATGGATTACATTCAATATTTCATCACCAGTCCCACCACCATGACACCTTCCCACCACCATTGTTTCAAATTTCCCACCACCACTCAAACCTGTCAAACAGATGCATGCTAGATAATTTATTTGTATTGCTCACTATGAATAACATAGGATGTGCCTGCTCCTAGAAATCTAAAATTTTAGATAATTAGGGTCTGGAGAAATCTCTGCAGCGAGCTGCTCGGTTCCGAGATTCTTTTGTATGTCTCTGGGTCTTGGCCATTAAAGAGCTAAGTAGTCACCGAAGGCAACTCTGGGCATGACATCCAGGGTCCCATGGGGGCGGGAAGACCAGAAGGACCATCCCATCCCCTATCCCATGAGGCTTGGAATTTGCTGTCACTAATCTTGAGTACCTGGGCTTTTCATTGGGTTCTGGAAGATGGCAGCCGTTGGGATTTCTAGGGGACAGGTGGAGTTGTGGGCTCTTTAAACACGAAATCAATCCATACACATTTGTCACAATACTTAGCACAAGTAACATAGTAAGTCCCCTCTCATAAGACACTTAGGTCTTGCCTTAATTAGAAATGCTACTGCAAAGGAAACACATGAGTTAACCCTTGATCGTGTGTTTATTGTTTCCCTAAGGTCAAAGTCTTAACCTTGACATAGGATTTTCCCTCTCAGGTCCTGGAATTTGAGGAGCATGTGGGTGCTTCAAGCAGGTCCTATTGTTTTGATTAATGATTAGACAGAGTTGGATGTTCTATGTCTTAGAACAGGCTTGATTGACATCCTTTAACCCTCAAGAGTCTTGCAGCCCTTCCCAGCTTAGGTTTCTGTGAACTCTTCCCACCTTCAACATCTCTGTGGTAGATGATTCATGGAGGTTGCTCATGTTTTCTTAATCTTTTCTTGATCCATTTCCAAGTCCACTAACCATTACTTTTTCTCACTCCTAGGAGTTTTTTGATGTGTGGCCAGTCTTGATGGGTGAGGTGCCACCGTATTCAGGTCCCAGGACTCCAGATGGAAGGGTAGGTCTATCTCTAATCTGTTGGATTTGAACAACTGTCTGATGGAATGGGAACCAAGGCCCTGGTGGGCCCTGTAGAAAGTGTTTCTTTATCACTTAGATATATATCTGCTTGGGTTGAGCTTTTTTCCCAAGAGGTTATGGTAATTTCCTATAATTGCCAACTGCTATAATTTGCAAGGTGTTTTTAATATCTAGCTGGAGTTTCATAGTAATTGTGTGGGTCTGACCAAGAAGAAATCAGTGTTCTCTTTAAACCAGTCTTTGAATTTTTAAAAATTTAGTAGTCATGAATTATAAAATAATTACAAAGTTATTCATGACTGGGTTTTAGAGATACAGTGTCTTAACACCAATTCCTCCACCAGAGTCCACTTCCCTGCACCAATGCCTCTGCACCCCATTTCCCTCCCGCCTACCCACTCATCAGCTTCTATGATAGACACTCTTTTATGTATATATATATGTATATATATGTACATATGTAACCTTTTTTTGTTTGCTTGTTTTGGGTCAAAACCAGGGGTGCTCAGGGTGTACTCTTGGCTCTGTGCTCAGGGATCTCTCCTTGCAGGCTTGTGGAACCATATAAGGTGCCAGGGATCAAACCCAGGTCAGCCACATGCAAGGCAAATGCCCTTCCCATTGTACTATCACCCCAACCTCTTTTATAACTTTGTGGTAGTTACCCATAGGGTTTCATGTATAACACTAAATCACTTGTCAGCTTCCTCTCTTCCTCCTCAACTACCTCCATAGTTATAATGTGCCCTTCCCTGTCCTATCTCACACCCCCACACCTTTTGGCAGACTTGAAAGGAGATGATATGGCACAGGGGAACTTGAGGTGTTATTAGAGATGTTGCATTAAGCCTTTGGTGTGTACTTGAGTTTATCTCTAGGTGTTTCATAGCATGATTCTTACCAAAGACCAGTTCTCATATTCTTTGTTTCTGTTGCCTTTGGGCATTCACTATTGCACCATTTTGTTTCTTTACATACTGCATATGAGTGAGATCATTCTGTGTTGGTCCCTTTCTCTAACCTCGCTCAGTATGATACTGTCCAGATCCATCCGTTAAAGTAGCAGAGTGCATGATTTTATCTTTTCTTATTGCTGAGTAATATCCAGTTGTGTATATGTACCTAATTTCTTTATCGTCATCTATTCTTGGACACCTGGGTTGTTTCCAGATTTTGGCTATTATGGATAGTATTGCAAGGAACATAGAGGTACAAATATGTTTTCTCCGTCGTGTTTTAGGGTCCCTGGGATAGATGCAAGAAGTGGAATCGCTGGGTCAAATGGGCATTCAATTCCTAGAGGGGGGTTGTTTGTTGGTTTGTTTTTTGTTTTGGTTTTTGGGCTACACATGGTGCTAAGGGATTGCTATTGGCTCTGTGCTCAGACATCACTCCAGGCATGCTCTTGGGGATTTTGAGAATCCAACCTGGGTTGGCACCATGCATGATCCCCTAATAGCTCTACTGTATCTCTGGCCCCTCAATTTCTAGGTTTTTTGCAGAATGTTCATATTGTTTTCCAGAAAGACTGAACCAGTTGACATTCCCCCCAGCAGTAAATAAGAGTCCTTTTCTCCCTGCATTCATTCAGCATTAGTTATTTTTGTTCTTTTTGATGTGTACAAGTCTGTAATGTGAGGTGATAGCTCCTTGTTTTGATTTTCATTTCCCTAATGATTAGTGATAAAGAGCATTTTTCCATATGCCTTTTGGCCATGTGTATGTCTTCTTTAAGGAAGTTTCTGTTCATCTTCTCTCCCCATTCTTTGATGCGGTCAGATTTGTTTTGTATGGTTCTATCAGTGCTTTAGATATCTTAGACATTAACCTTTATCAGGTGAGTGATGGACAATCTTTTTAAAAAAGATATTTGTTATTGAATCACTGTGAGATAGACCCTACAAAGCTGTTCATGATTAGGTTTCAGTCAGTGTTCTAACACCCATCCCTCCACCAGTGTACATTTCCCAGCACCAGTGTCCCCAGTTTCCCAGTTTCCCTCCAATCATTTCCCGCCCCCCCACACACAAGTCTGCCTCTATGGCAGGCACTTCTCTCTCTCTCTCTCTCTCTCTCTCTCTCTCTCTCTCTCTCTCTCTCTCTCTCTCTTCCCCCCTTTTGGGCACTGTGGTTTGCAATAAAGATACTGAAAGATTATCATGTATATCCTTTTACTTACTTTTAATACTCAGCTCTTGTCCAGCATGATCATTTCCAACTATTATTGTCGTACTGATCCCTAATCTCTATCTTGCCTACCCTCTGCCCCACACACACTTGTGATAGATTCCAACCATTGATCAGTCCTTCTAGCCCCTGTTTTCCCTGGCCTTAGATATATGTCTTCTACTATATATATTTTTATATACCACAAATGAATAAAGCCATTCTATATCTATCCTTCTCCTTCTGACTCATTTCACTCAGCATGATAGTCTCCATGGACATTTATAGGCAAATTCCACGACTTCTTTTTTCCTAACAACTGTGGAGTATTCCATTGTATAGATGTGCCATAGTTTCTTTCTCCATTTGTCTGTTGTTTCCAAATTTTGGCTATAGGGGCTGGAGCAATAGTACAGCAGGTAGGGTGTTTGCCTTGTGTGCAGTCAACCCAGGTTTGATTCCCAGCATCCCATATGGTCCCCTGAGCACCGCCAGGAGTAATTTCTGAGTGCATGAGTCTGGAGTAACCCCTGTGCAATGCCAGGTGTGACCCAAAAAGAAAAAAAAACAATTCCAAATTCTGGCTATAATGAATAGTACTGCAATTAAATATGAGTGCATATGGTGTTTCTGCTGTGTGTTTTTGGGTTCCCAGAGTATATTCCCAGAAGTGATATTTCTGGGTCATAAGGGAGCTCAATTTCTAGTGTTTTGAGGAACGTTCATGTTGTTTTCCAAAAAAGGCATTCCCACCAGCAATGAATTAGAGTCCCTTCCTCCCTGTATCAGTGCCAGAACTAGATGTTCTTGTTCCTTTGTTTCCAGTTTTTGTGGTGTGAGATGGTATCTCATTGTTGTTTTGATTTGCATCTCCCTGATGATTAGTGATGAAGAGAAATTTTTCCATGTGCCTTTGGCCACTCAAATTTCTTCTTTGAGAAAGTTTCTGTTCATTTCTTCTTCCCATTTTTTGATGGGGTTGGATTTTTTTTCTTGTCAAGTTCAACCAGTGTGTGTATATCTTTGATATTAACTTGTGAAAGAGGCTTTTCTTGTTCCACTTCATATTTCTTGCTCCCTTATCAAAGATTCAATTATCATATAATTGAGGGCATGTGTCAGGATATTCAACTCAATTCCATTGGTCTGCAGGTCGATCTTTATCCCAATACTATGCTGTTTTAATTACTACCATTTTGTATTACAGTTTAAAGATGGGGAAGGTGATGCCTTGCATCTTTTTTTCCCCCAAAGATTACCTTTGCTATTTATGAGGATTTATCTTTTCATATAAATTTCAGGAGTGTTTGATTAATTTCTTTGAAAAATGTCATGGGTATCCTTATAGTAACCACATTGAGTCTGTATAATGTTTTGGAGAGTATTGCCTTTTTTAACAATGTTTAAGTCTCCCAAATCCATGAGCAGGGGATGTGTCTCTATTTCCTTAGCAAACGGTCTTTTATCCCACATGTCTGTGCTAAATTGCTGCTAACCCAATTGCATGACTTCCTTTGAAAAAACACACTCCTCAAGGATTATTATATCATCCAAGCCAGCACGTTCTCAGGCCTTGAAGAATGCGAGACATTCTGGGTGTAAGAGATCAAAAGATAAAGCACAAGGGCTGGGTTGGCTGCTTGATGAGATAACTCCCATGAGTCCCTGATTTCCCCATCTTGGAAGTGCTATTCCAGCTTATCTCCAGAGTCCATTCCAGGTCTAGGGCATAGCTGTGGAAAAAACTGAGCAAGGGGCTGTGGACATAGCAAATCAGGACTGTTCCAAAGCGCATCTCTGTGGAGTTGGTGGGTGGAAGCCTGGGTCCAGAACTCTGTTCCACTCTCTAGTTTTATGGTCTGGGATAACCTCTTTAAGCCTCCCAATCCTTATGGGTAATGCCGCGGTGGGGGGCGGGGGGAATCAGCTGGCCTTGTCAGTTTGTGATCATGGATATGAGTCATGCTCCAACTCACAGCAGGCTCTCAAAAAATCACAGCCAGCCAGGCTGAGACTTACTTTCCAATGGGAACTTTACCTGGATTATTTCATAGACTATTTATTGTCAGAGAGCTTACAAGCATACCATTGTCCTAATTTGTTAGTTGGGAAAATCAGGAGGCAGAGGGGTCAAGTCACTTGCAAAAATTCAAACTCAGGATGCTTTTCTCTGATACAATCATTGCAATCATGTGTTCAACTATTTTTCGTTGTTTTCTAATTCATTTGCCCTATTCACATCAGATGTACATATTTTGGAGGACAAGGGGTGGAGATGATAGTATAGTAGGTAGGGTTGTCTTGCACAAAGTGAGCTGGGGGAGTCAATTCCTGGCACCACTTATGGTCCCCTGAGCACCACCAGACATGATCCCTCAGCATGAGTCAAAGTAAGCCTTGAGCACTGCTGGATGTGGCCTCTAAACAAAAAAAAACAAACAAAAGTAGTGCTTCTGTACTACTCAGCTATGAAAAAGGATGAAATCCTGCCATTTTCTGCAACTTGAATGGCATTACAGGGAGTCATGCTAAGTGAAATGTAGAAGAGGGATGCTCTTATTTATATGCGGAGTCTAAACAAACAGGGAGGTTCTGGAGAGATAGTACAGAGGGTAGTGGACTTGCCTGGCATATGACTGACCTAACTTGATTTCTGGCACTTCATACAGTTCCCCGAGCCCACCGGTAGTAATCCTTGAGCATAGAGTCACAAAGAACCCTGAATACTGCTGGGTGTGGCTCCCAAACAAAAATAAATGGAAAAAGAAAAGAAACAAAGATATTAAACAGTTCATAAAAAAAAATATAAGATAGAACGTCCTGACCCCACGCCAGACTGTCTTCACTGAGGCAACTTAAGGTGGGGGGGGGGCAGATTGCGGATTGAGTTTCCCTTCCTACCCCAGAAGAAACCCTGCAGTCGAAAACCTCCAGAAACGAACTGCAGCCATGCTCCTGGCCACTCTCCACAAGCTAGGATGAGCCTCACCCATGAGGGAACCTGCAGAAAAGCACAGGTATGCGAGACCCGTGACTGAAATATCCAAGCTCGCTCAGAGCAGGAATGGGTCTCTTCTCCGCATCTCCCAAGTTTAGTGGTAGCTTGGAAGTCACACCCACAAACTACCCTTGGCGCCATATAATCTCAGCAATGGCCAAGATCCAGAGACTCTGAAATAAAGCTCCCGAAAGAGAGCGACATAGACCTTACCCATGAGTGAATCTGCCGCATAATCATATTCTAAATTTCAGAATTCCTGGACTGACCTGTCATACTCTGCATCACTGATGTACCAAGAGTAACACACATTTGTTTGGCTTTAAGATACATGCTTATAATCTCTTTTATAAAGCCTTAATGGCTCCAGGATGAAATACAACAATCTTCACACATTTTACTCTTATGGTAGTAGGAGGGTGCAATGCTGGTGGGATTGGTGTTTGAATATTAAATGTAATGAATTATTGTGAACAACTTTATAAAAATAAAATAAAATAATGAAACAAAAAAGAAATAAAAATGAATATTTTAAAGTGAGTTTCTAGGACTGGAAGTATAGCTCTATGAACTTCCTAAATGCAAAAGAACCCCTTACCTCCCATGGTCTGCAGGGGCAACTCCTGAGCACAGAGCTGGGAGCAAACCCCTGAATACTACTTAAAACCAAACTGAAAAAAAGTGGCATTTTATTTTCCTGATGATTTGGCAGTGGCTGTATTTAAGAGAATCTTTCAAAGATCCATGTGTTCAGCTAGAGGTAACAACATGCCCATTGATGGCTCACTGTACTTTCCAAACCTGGTGGATTCCTACATGAATATGGTCTTGAAGGCAAGTTGGCTGAGCTACAGTGTGTGGAAAAATCCCATTTACCTAAAGCACACTGATCTTTTTGTTCCTTTCTGTGAAAGGAAACTATTTCCCTTGAGGGTTTAAAAAACCATTCATTCCCAAACTTTCTACAGGAGTCTTGTTTCATTTATTTATTTATTTATTTATTTATTTTTTAAAAATAGGGGGAAGGAGATTTTGGGTGCCACCTGGTAATGTCCAGGGCTGACTTTTAGCCTTGTGCTCAGAGATCACTCCTGGTAGTCCTCAAGGGAACCCTATGGGATGCAGGGGTCTGTACTATCTCTCCAGCCCCATCTACAGGAGTTTTGTGATGAGAGTTCACTGGGAGTGCAGTGAAGCCAAGGACTAAGATGCTATAAAGGTCTGAAGTAGGTCTCCTTCTCCTTCCAGGAAGAAACGGAGCTCTACCCAAGTCCCAGGACATTTCCTAGTTGTTACCTAAATGTAGATGTCTTTCTAGAACTTCCCACACGGTATAACTTAAATTGTTTAAAATTAAATTTTAAACAGTAGTCTTCCATTGTGTATATATACCACAAGTTCTCAATCCATTCATCTGGAGTTGGGCATCTGAGTTGTTTCCATTGCTTGTTTATTGTATTAAGTGTGGCAATGAGCATAGGTGTACATATAACTTTGGAATTAATGTTTTGTGTTTTGGGCAACAGATACAGAGTATGGTATTGCTGTATTATATGATAGTTCTATTCATATCTGGGGCTTATAGATACACAGCAACGTAGCAACGAAGATCCAAAGACAACATAAGGGGAGAAATGATTCACACAATTGAGTTGTGACATTATTAATAGCACTGTGACCACAGAATCGCCATAAAAAATAAAATAAAAAAATAAGGGACTCAGTAAAGAAAAAAATAACACGATCTTATCATACTTTGCTTATATTTGTTTAAAAAAATCATAGAGTTTGGAGAGAAAGAATAGTGTCTTGCATGCAGCTGATATAGGTTGGATCCCAAGTACCACTCGAGGTGATTCCTGGGGCACAAAGCCAGAAGGCGTCTCTGAGCATCAACAGGTGTGTCCCTTCTACCCAAAACAGAGCAAAGCAAAGCACAAGTCCAGGAGCAGAAGAGAAGCTCCCACCCACCAATGAAAGAGTATTTCACAGAAGAGACCTAGCCTGCCTGGAGGAGGTGGCCAGGCTCTCTTCCCACCAGAGCTGCTGTGACTCCCACATTTCTGCCCCTGTGCTGTTTTCCACACCACACAGGGGCTGATGCTATTTTGTGACTTGTTTTTCCAAAACTTCATTTTTTGTGGTTAGAAACCATTTTTTAAAAATTCTTATTTTATATTGTTTTATTTTTCTTTTGAGGGATTCCCATCTGGTAGTGTACCAGGGACTATACAGTGCTGGGGATGGATCCAAGCTTCCCACATGCAAAGCATGTGCTCCAGTCTATTGGCTGTCTCTCTGGCCCTGAATAGCTGCTTTTAACATTAATCCAGGGCCAGAGCAATAGTACAGCAGGTAGGGCATTTGCCATGCGTATGGCCAATCCAGGTTTGATCCCTGGCACCCCATACAGTCCCCCAAGCACCTCCAGGGGTCATCCCTGAGTGTAGAACCAAGAGTAATCCCTGAGGGCAGCCAGGTGTAGCTTCAAAACCAAATAAATAAATATGCTAATAAATAATAAAATGAGGTGGAAGGGGGGTATATTGAGGTTCTTGGTGCTGAAAAATGAGTACTGGTGAAAGGAAAGGTGTTTGATCATTGTATGACCGAGACTTAAACCTGACAGCTTTGTAACTTTTCCCACAGTGATTCAATAAATAAATATAAAAGAAAATAAATAGATAAAATTATGAAAAAATAACTAACAAAATGCACTATTAACCATAAGCCATAGAGCAGAAAAGGCCCTGCATGTGCTCCAGGGCCTCCAGTTTGATTTTGACACATGTTTGTCCTACAAATGCATCCCTAATCTCTCATTAGGACTCATAAAGTACCAGTCTTCTCATTTATAAAGTAGTTGCTGACTTCCTTCCATTTGGGTGTTCAGATAATCTGAGTGAGAGGAAGCACGCCCCTCCCCCCCCCGCCCCCAATGTCTGAGTACCTGTTAGTAAGTTATGTGACTGAAGAGAGGTGCTTTTGAGATGGGAGTTTTCCTGGTGACACAAGGGTAGGAGGAAGTGTCCTGAGGCTGATACAGAAACGAGGGCAGGAGTGAGGAAAGAGAGGGGCCAGGGCAGGGGGGTCGAGTGCTGCCTGGTCGATAACTCCACCTCCCCCATCTCCTGCCCTGGATTCTAGCAGCAGTCGTTCTCCTTGTTCTCAAGCCCAGAACCCCTTGAAGCACTTCCAATCCCTCTTGCCATGACTAGATACTGGCCCCTGGCTGGCCCCCAGCAAGAAGGACTCAGCTGAAGGCAATGAGCCCAGAGACAGCTGAGGAAGCCCACCCCTTAGAGGGGGGTTGGGTCAGACTCGTGACCCTGGAAAGCCAGGGTACATGTGGCCAAGAACAAGACCCATCTCATGCGCAGGCTCCTGCCCTAGTTGCCACGACCTTTGAAAAATCGTTGTTTTTCCACTTCTTTGCTAGGAAATCAACTTTTACAAGGTCATTGACTACATCCTGCATGGAAAAGAAGACATCAAAGTCATCCCGTAAGTTTCTTCTCAAAACAAGTAGAATAGCAGGCACATTTCACTGTTCACAAGACACTATCTCAGGGCAACGCCCACCGCAGGGCAGCATCCTTGGCTAGAGGCAGGCAAGTGGTGAAGAGGCAGTATGCAGGGGTGGGAGGACCATCCATGGCGAGAAGGGAAGCCCCAACGGTGGGGAGGAGTGCCTGAAGCCACCGGGCCAAGCACTGACATAGTGCTGTGAGTTCTAATCCCCAGCCCACAGAGTTTCTCAAAGATGGGCCAAGCCCTGGGGTCTGAGAAAGTTCCTCATTGTTTTCTGAGGAGGCACCTCTGGAATGAACACAAGGACTAGGACAGTAATCCAGTCACCCCCAGGGGACCCAGCCCCTAAGCGTTTTGACGTCCAAAGAGGAAAGAATATCTGAAGAGCTGGGCCTGGAACCTTGGCCTGCATGCAGGCCCACACAAAGACCAGGCTAAGACCAGAAGAGACTCTGCCTTTTTTCCAGCAGAGGACAGGGAGATGCTAGTTAGTAGAGCAGTGCTCAAAAGTGTAGTTGGCAGGAACCAAGTGCAATGAGAGTACAGCGGGCGAGGGCACTTGCCTTGCATGCAGCAAACCTGGATTCCATCTCTGGCATTTCATCACGTGGTCCCCAGAGCACTGCCAGGGGGAGTTCCCGGAATGGTTCCTGAGCATCACAGGGTTCACAGGGTATGGCCCAATGACCAAAGAGGGGGAAAATGTGGTTGTCTTCCCTTTTAGTTGATTCCAGAGCCAGGACTGGGAGCCGCAGACCAGGCAGGGTTCTCTTCCAACCCCGCTGCTGTCTCCCGGAGGCTCCCACCCCACGCTGTGGGAATCACCCCTTCAGTTTCTTCCCAGTTCTCCGTTCCACTTAAGAGATTTGCTTAATCCTAAAGCTACTCACTGGATCTTGTCTCCAAACCAAATAGTCTTAATCCTGCTGCTGGGGCACAGCACGCACTTGCTTCACACTCCTAGTTTCTGCTCTGCCTGCCTGTGCCTGCTGATATGAGGACCGAGTCCTTGCTGAGCTCCTTGGGCTCTTTGCCCGCCTTACCGCCTTGCCAAAGGTGCTCTCTTGGGTCATTTTTGGGGACAACTCATTCCGTCTTCTGCAGTGGGTGGTTCGGGTGTGCTGCCTGCTGCCTGGCAGGGGCTCATTCCCCTCCAGCGCAAGAGACCAGCAGGCAGGAGGCAGGACTGCTGCCCTTTGGGACTGTGCTAAATTGACTTAACCCAGGAAGAGAGAATCTAGGAGAGAACAAATCTGCTTTTTTTTTTCTTTTTGGATTACACCTGACACAGGACATATTCCTGGTTCTGCACTCAGATACAGGGGTTACTCCTGGCGCTACACTCAGATGTACAGGGGTTCCACCTGGATCTGCACTCAGGAATTACTCCTGGCGGTGCTCAGGGGACCATATGGAATGCTGGGAATTGAACCTGGGTTGTCCGTGTGCAAGGCAAATGCCCTACCCGCTGTGCTATCGCTCCAGGTCCACAAATCTGCCTCTTAAATGCTCATCTGGAAGGGGCACTACTTTGCTCCTGCTCACGTTTGGTGAATCCCAAGGCCACACCTCCCTTCCAGTGCTCTGGACCTGGAACTCTATCTTTGTGTCCAGAGCAGGCAATAGCTGAGCGATTTGCAAACGTCCTGAGTGACTGCCACAGCCCGTGACCTCTGAATCCATAGAGGATGCATGGGATTGTAAACTAAGGTTTACAATCAAACCAAAGAAGGCAGAGTAAGAGGTTACACACAGAGCAGGTAAGAAAAATAGAACATGCTACAATAGAGTTTTAATCATTTCCTCCTCTCTCCCCTCTTTGATGTCATTGTGCCGTAAAATAATCAGGCGTCCTTCCCACGCCTGGCACTGGAGCTCCCAACTTAGTTGCAGTACTGGTGAGGCTCACACGCAGTAAGGCTCACCCTTGGACGGCGCCCTGGACCTCAGAGCTTCCACATCCTTTTAGTTGTGACCACACACATCTGGTGGTGGTGTGGCATGAAAGTTCTGGTGCCTTGGCCCTGAGAATCTCAGACATATCTGCCAGGATTGTACTTGGCAATGTGGCAGTGCTAGGGACCAGACATGTGCTTGCAAAGTGGGCACTTTAAGCACTCAGCCATCAGCTGGCCCCTTCAGATGATATTTAAGTCCAAATTATCAATAATCGGAACTGGGGTGATAGTAGAGTGGGTAGGACACTTGCCATGCATGCAGCCAACTTGGGTTCAATCCCATATGATCCCTACCGAGCACCGCCAAGAGTGATTCCTGAGCACAAAGTCAGGAATAACCCGTGAGCATCCCCAGCTGTGGTCCCTAAACAAAAACAAACAAAAATCTAAATATATCAACAATTGCTTGAAATCTATATCAACTAAATATTCCAGTTAAATGACAAAAATCCAGCAACGCTGGATAAGAAAGAGAATTGTCACATCACAGTGAATCTAAAATATCTCACCTACTTGGTGAGGTTTCTAAAATAGAATCATGACACTACATAACTGCCAGCCAGACACACATCATCTGAAATTAGCAATAAGCAAGCAGAAAACTAAGTTCAGAAAATAAAATATGCCTAGAAATTAATAAAATGCAACAATTATGAACAAATGCCTGAAATGTTTAATTTTTAAAAAATTAATAAATGTTTAATATCTTTAAAGATGAATAAAATTGAAAAATCTCTGGCAAGAGTGAGTAAGAAAAGTAGAAAGACAGTAAAATAAGGTGTATTGGGAATGAAAGGAAGGGATAACTACAGTGATAGAGACATATAAAGATAATACAAGGGCTAGAGAAAGTGCCGGGATTAAGACACTTCTCTTGCACACAACCAATTCTGGTTTAATCTCTGACACTATTCATGATCCCTCTAGACCCACCTGGGATGATAGTCAGGCGTAAGACCTGAGCACTGCTGCATGTGGCCCAAAAACAAAAACAAAAACAAAAAAAGAAAGGAAGAAAGAAGAAAAGAAAGGAGAAAAAAATCACTCAACACAAATTTGCCACATGAAGCAAAACATAATTTTCTGCATAGAGGAGTGCTTTCTTAATAGCTTGAAGGAAGAGAACATAGATATATAATTTATATCTACAGATTTATATCTATATATTTATATGGGATGTACCACACATGATATGATAAATAGTTCATAGTAAATATGTATTTTATATATATACATATATATATATTTGGAAGCATGTTTACACCAGCATTTCATTGCATCACTGTTGATATTACCCCAAACTGAAAGACATTGCTCCTCATTGGTTGTGAATAGGTAAATAGTGCTACAGTCAAGTATGGGAACGCTTCCATGTAAGTCAATAGAATGAATGTATTACAGACTAAAGTCTTTTGCTTGTTTGATTTGGGGGCAGCATCCCATGGTGCTCAGGGTGTTTTGTGCTCAGGTGTCACTCTGTGCTCTGTGCCCAGGTGTTACTCCTAACCTTGCTCAGGGAACTGAACTGGGGTCGACCATCTGCAAAGCAAGTGGCTTACCCTCAAACTATCTCTCCAACACTTACAGTCTGACTTTTTATACTCCATGTGAGTGAAACCCCACACAGAGTAGCATAAGTCTTTAGGAATGTTTTAAATAATTTTTTTGCTATTTATTTAAATAAATTTCTGTTACATATGCACTTGTTTGATTCACAGGCCTATTTAATATACTTAGATAAGCAGGATTGCATACAAATTTTTCAGGTTAAAAGGAGTCATGAATGGAAGAGTTTTAAAAGCCCTGCATTACAGCAGCATGAAAGAGAGGCCAAGCGCCCAGAGACATGGTCCGGGTGGTGAGGCACCTGCCTGCATGAAGCGGGTTGGGTTTTACCCTGAGCACTACTGCCAGGAGTGACCCCCAAGCACAGACCTGGGGGTAGCCCGGATCTAAGAACAAACAAAAAATGACAAAGAAATCAAACAATATAATGACATGGTAAAATGTTCTATCTAAACTAAATTGAAAAGTAGACAATTGTTTAACTAGTGGATACAGGAAATCAGCTCTACAGAAAATCAAGACTGTAACAATCCTAAATCAGAACCAATCCTAAATGGGATTTAGGAGAAGGGGGTGCCTTCCAGGGCAGGGACCTTGCAGGTCTTGATGTGGTGCTATTTCAGACATGTTCACTTTGTTTTGTTTTATTGTTTTGTTTTTTGTTTTTTGGGTTTTTTTTTTTTTGCTTTTTGGGTCACACCCAGCATTGCACAGGGGTTACTCCTGGCGCATGCACTCAGGAATTACCCCTGCAGTGCTCAGGGGACCGTATGGGATGCTGGGTATCGAACCCGGGTAGGCCGCGTGCAAGGCAAATGCCCTACCTGCTGTGCTATCGCTCCCGCCCACATGTTCACTTTCAAATGATGAAACTCTGGATGAATTTTTAGGTGTGTATTTTTCTCATAAAAATAACAATACCTCCCCCAAAGTGAAACTGTTGTAAAGCCAACAGTGCTTGGGATGTGGGTTGTGCTCACCGCACAGCTCTCCTCCCTCATTCTGGTCTGCTCACACCTCTTCCCCACACTCCCCTCTCAGATTGAGTTAACTCTGTATTAACAAAACAGAAAGCTGGTATGAGTTTTTGCTCAGTAATTGATAACAATTTGACCATTGAAGGCTGTTTCCTTAATTGTCATTTATCTCCTTGAACAAGCTGTTCAATGAATTGAGAAACTATAAGAATATCTAGGCTAGTGTGCAGTCAAAAAGAGTGTATTTATCACACTTAGTTTGAATGTCTATATTTGGACATTAGGAGATTTAGCTAAGATTTTGGATTTGGTTGGGTATAAAGAATGTGATCATTGTATAACTGAAACCCAAGCACAAAAATTTGTAAGTCTACAACTGTACCTCATCGTGTTTCACTAATAAAAATTTTTAAAAAATTGACAATTCAAAAAAAAAAAAGAATGTGAGCAGGAGCTGGGGACTGCCAGAGAGTCATCTGGAGGAGTACAAAAACCCTGATTCAAGTTTTTAGTTCAATTTTCCCAGCAGCAAATGTTACCATTTGATTTTGTCCTTTGCAGGAATCCACCTCCTGATCACTGGGCTTTAGTAAGCGGGCTCCCTACTTATGTTGCTCAAAATGGCCTGGTAAGTAATACTTACTTTAAAGGGAGAGAGGTTTGGATTATGGGGGTGAAAGGATTTCAGATCAAGAAAATAGGGGAAATTCTGGAAAGCGTAATTCTTTAGTTTCTCAATTCATTGAACAGCTTGTTCAAGGAGATAAATGACAATTAAGGAACTATGAACTATGTAGGCACATGCACACAGACACACAGACACACACAGACACACACACACACATGCACACACTCACATCCTTAGAAGAAAAGACAAAGGTTTAGATGCAAAAGTTTTCTGGCAAGGGTAGGAGAAATGCTCCAAGGACAGGAACACATGCTTTGCATGTGGGAACCCTGGGTCTTAATCCTAACATCACATGATCCCCTGAGCATGGCTGGGAATGAACAATTAAGAGGTCATTGATGGCTCTGAGGAGAGCAAACTGGGTGATGAGGTGGAGGCAGAAACCAATGTACGTTCTACTGAGGTGTGGATGGGTAAGGGGGTGGTAGAGAATGTAAAGTCAAAGAGGGGAAAGTCTGCACGGTTACGGCAGGGACCATTTGGATTAAAAGGATTTTCCTTTCAAAGATGGGTGAGACCCAGGCATGCTCAAGAGATGAGGGGAAAGAGACCTCCAAGAGGCTGGCAATCCTAAAGAAAGGATGATCATATATGTATGACGGTTCTGTTCCGCTGCCACTTGGGGTCAGAGACGGATCAGCTTTATTGGAAACCAACTAGCAGGCTGGAAAAAGTAAATTCATATCCTCAAAACAATCATTTTATCTGCATGGACAGAAGTTGTATTTTTGTTTGTTTGGTTGGTTGGGGGCCACACCCAGTGTGTTTTCTGAGGATCACACCATATATATAATCCTGGGAATCAAACCCGGGTTTGTAGCATGCAAAGCAAGAGGCTTAACCCTGTTCTGTCTCTCAGGTATACATCTACATTTTTGTAGAAAAAGAACAGAGAAGAGATGGGTGAGCTCTAGAACCAAGAAAGAGTCCCTTCTTACCTGGTGTCTGAGGCACACTTCATCCTATCTGTAAACTAAACCAAGAAGGGACACAACAAGGAACACAGGGATAAGTTCCTTATCTTTATTATTATTATTTTTTGGTCTGGTTGTGCATTTTTATTTTATTTTTAATTAATTTATTAGATCACCATGAAATAGTTATACACTTTCATGATTACGTTTCAATCTTACAATGATTGAGGACCCATTCCTGCACCAGTGCACATTTTCCACCACCATTGTTCCCAGTGTCCCTCCCGCAACCCTCACCCCATCTCACTCCTTGCCTCTGTGGCAGGTACATTCCTTCATACTCTCTCTCTCATTTTGGGTGTTATGATTTTCAATACAGGTATTAAGAGGCCATCATGTTTGGTCCTTAGTTTACTTTCAACATATCCCCCATCCTGAGCAATCCCTCCAACCATCATTTACTTAGTGGTCCCTTCTTCATCCCAACTGCCTTTTCTCCCTGGAACATGGGGCTGGTTTCCAAACTGTGGCGTGATATGGGGAAGGCAGCCTTTCTGCGCTCAGAGCACTTCCTCCTGGACAGAGAGCAAGGCCCTGGGCAAGACTGCAGTGTGTTTGGACACAGTGAGAGTCAGGCTAAACAACAACTTCTCTTCTTCTTCTTCTTTTCTTCTTCTTCTTCTTCTTCTTCTTCTTCTTCTTCTTCTTCTTCTTCTTCTTCTTCTTCTTCTTCTTCTTCTTCTTCTTCCTCTTCTTCCTCCTCTTCCTCCTCTTCCTCCTCTTCCTCTTCCTCTTCCTCTTCCTCCTCCTCTCCTCCTCCTCCTCCTCCTCCTCCTCTTCCCCCTCTTCCTCCTCCTCCTCCTCCTCTCCTCCTCCTCCTCCTCCTCCTCCTCCTCCTCTTCCTCTCCTCCTCCTCCTCCTCCTCCTCCTCCATTTTTGCTCTTTGGGCCACACCTGATGATGCTCAGGGGTTACTCCTGGCTCTGCACTCAGGAATTACTCCTGGTGGTGCCTGGGGGACATGGGATGCCAGGGATTGAACCCAGGTGGGCCGAGTGCAAGGCAAGTGCCCTATCTGCTGTACTATCATTCTGGCCCTAATCTATTCCTCTGTATCATGTCCTTTAGATTTGCAACATCATGAATGCACCCGCGGAGGATTTTTTTGCATTCCAGGTAAGTCATTTTTTATTTACTTTCTGTCATGTGACTTTTTCTTTTCTGCTCAGAGAGGATTCAAATCCACTCCTTTATTTGGAACAACCTCAAAAAAGTACTTTACCCCCTTACCCCCACCCAGAATTTTGTTCGTTTGTTTGGTTTGAGTAAGCTCAGGCTTACTCCTGGCTCTGGGTTCAGGGATCACCCCTGGCACAGGGGACCATCTGGGGAGCCGAGGATCCAACTCTGGTCAGCTGCATGGAAGAAAAGTGCCCTCCTAGCTGTACTGTCTCCCCAGCACCTCCATCTCCGTTTGCCCATTCAGTTTTAACTCCCACACTTGGCTCACTGGTCTCAGGACCTTTGTTTTTACTCTTCTCCCTCCAATCACCAAATCTTGCCTGAATCCCTCTGCCCTTAACTTCAAAGGCTAAAGTGTCTCTCTCTCTCAAGTTTTTTTTTTTAAGTTTAAATGTTTAATTTTTAACTTTTTTCAATTTTTTTGATGGAACTTTTTTTAAAATAATTTTTTTTTAAAAAGTGAACCGCCGTGAGGTACTGTTACATACTTACAAACTTTCGTGTTTGCATTTCAGTCATACAATGATCGGGTACCCATCCCTCCACCAGTGCCTGTTCTCCACCACCAATGATCCCAGTATCCCTCCCACCACCACTACCCCCTCCCCCTCCCACCCTACCTCTGTGGCAGGGCATTCCCTTTTGTTCTCTCTCTCCTTTCGGGTGTTGTGGTTTGCAATAGAGGTATTGAGTGGCCATCATGTTCAGTCTATAGTCTATTTTCGGCAGCTCCCAACCCGAGCGGGTCCTCCCAAGGACCCTTTACTTGGTGTTCCCTTCTCTGTCTGAGCTGCCTTTCCCCCCAGCATGTGAGTCTGGCTTCCAAGCCATAGCGCAAATCTCCTGGTCCTTATCTCTACTATTCTTGGGTGTTAGTCTCCTATTCTGTTAGTTTTTATATTCCACACATGTCTCGTTCTCAAGTTTTATTGTTTCCTTTGTACATTCATTTCCATCTCCTTGGGATCTTCAGGGCTGCTTTACTCAGTGTTTCATCGCTTTCTGCTTGTCCTTTTCACACAGTTTACAAAAGGATCCGCTGTGCTGGGCCTGGGCGCTGTGTCAGGCTGGCCGAGGCAGGTTGCCTCAGGCCTGCCTCTCTGCAGCTTGCTACTGAGCAGGTGCACGGGATCAGCAGGCCTGACTTTAGGAGGAATAAAGGAATCTGTCCTGAGAAGTTGGTTTCTTTTCTTTTTTCTTTTTTTGTCTTTTTGGGTCACACCCAGCGATGCACAGGGGTTACTCCTGGCTCTTCACTCAGGAAGTACTCCTGGCGGTGCTCGGAGAACCATATGGGATGCTGGGAATCGTACCCAAGTCGGTCGCATGCGAGGCAAATGCCCTACCCGCTGTGCTATCGCTCCAGCCCTGTCCTGAGAAGTTTTATTTTGGTAGTAAAGAAAGTGAAGGTTAAAGAAAGAAAGAAAAGAAAGGAAAACAAGACAAAAAAACGAAAAACAGAGTGAAGGTTGCGGGAAAGAGGGTTTGTGGCGTGATCTAGGAAGAGTCCTGGCTGGGGGCACAGGGGCAGAGAGCGGAGAGGGGACAGGGCCAGAGGGCCCAGAGTTGGGCCCCAGAGCTAATCCCGCTTCCTGTGTTTCCCTCACCTCCTCTTTTCTAATCCCTTTGTCTTTCAGTCTAATTTCTCTGGGGAAAATATCACCTTCCTGGTAGTCAAGGGTTGGGATGCATCTTTCTTGACATTTTTAGCTCCAGGTGCTCTGAAGCCTAGCATGCTAACTTCACCAAATTTAGCTTCAGAAAAAAAAAACTTATTTTAGCAACTAGAAAAATATTAAGAAAAAATTAAGAAAGGCTCTTCAGAAAATTAGTGAATGATGTCTGTACCCTGAAAGAATATTAAGCAATATATCTGCTGTTATGAATTTTTGGTTTGTTTTAATGCAATACCTAGCAATGCTCAGTGGCTACTGTGACCCTAAGGGTTAGTGTTGAGTATCCAAACTGGGCCTTCTGCATGCAAAACATGCACCCCGGTTTTTGACCTAGGCTCCTGGCCTTTGATACGATTTGACCTGGTCACATGCATGACCAGGCTATATTGGTGTTAAGAGATGTGAATTTGATTATAAACCACAATAGACTTGGTCTTTTCATGGGGGTTAATGGGTTGGGCTCTGAGGTCTCACTCAGCAGTGCTCAGAGTCTATTCCTGTCTCTGTGCTCAGGAGTCACTTGTGGCTTTGCTGAGTATTTGAACCAGATTTCGAGGCTGCTAAGGTCTCCTTAGCCTCTCTACTATTTTTCCAAACCCAGTCATCCAATTAATTGCAGTTTACCTGCAATATTAATCTGTTTTTTTAAAATTTATTTTGGTCCTGGGCTCATACCTGATTGGTGGTCAGAGGTTTCTCCTGGCTCTTTGTTCAGGAGTCATCTCTGACAGTACTTGGGGGATCATGTACCATGCTGGGAATAGAAGTTGGGTAAATTGTGTTCAAAACAAGTGCCCGACTGACAGTACCATCTCTTTGTGCCCCTGATTCCAAATTTTTAAAGATTTAAAAAATTTTGTTTTTATAAAGTTGTTCACTGTAGTTTATTACATTCAATATTTCAACACCAATCCCACCACCATTACACCTTTCCACCACCATTATTTTGAATTTTCTCAACCAACACCCAAGCCTGCCCAAAGGCAGATCTTCAATAATTTATTTTGTATTCCTTGTTATGAATAACCTGCTAAAAATGCTCCAAATAGTTTTCCTTAGAGTAAAGTGTGTGAAAATTGTTATATCTCACCCCAGAGCCATTAAGCCCTTGCACAAGAGATTACTAACAGATTACTAACAAGTTGCTACAGGTTGAGCCTGTGTGCTAATATACATATATATTTTTTTAATTGAATTGATTGTGTTCTACTTAACACCCCACTGAATGTGGTGTGATACTCTTAGTACATCAGTGACATAGAGTATGAGATGCCACATGACCATGAATGCGGCCGCACACTCCAGAAATTCTAAAATTTTTAATAGGGTGATAGAGTTGGAGTTAAATATTTAGCTGGATGGTGACTTTAGGGTCCAGAGGATTCTCTGCAGCTTCTCGATTTCTTCTGAGATTCGTTTGTGAGTCTCTGGATCATGGCTGCTTATGAGTTTATATGGTGCCAGAGACAGTTTGTGGGTGTGACTGCCAGGCTGGCAGAAGCACAGGGAGATGGGGCACCAGTTTTGTTTTCATTTTTTTAATTTTTTATTTTTTTGCTTTTTGGCATATCGAATACTCTCGGTAGCTTGCCGGGCTCTCCGAGAGGGGCGGAGGAATCGAACTTGGGTCGGCCATGTTGGCCGCTTGTAAGGCAAATGCCCTACCCGCTGTGCTATCGCTCCAGACACAGTAACAACAAAGTCTCCAATGGAGACGTTACTGGGCCCGCTCGAGCAAATCGACGATCAACGGGAGGGCCTTTACCTTTACCTTTACCTTTTTGCTTTTTGGCTCACACCCGGTGATGCACAGGAGTTTCTCCTGGTTCATGCACTCAGTAATTACTCCTGGTCGTGCTCAGGGGACCATATGGGTTGCTGGGAATCAAACCCGGGTTGGCCACAAGCACTTAATCACTTAATCACTTAACTTCCCGTTAGTCGTCGATTTGCTCGAGCGGGCGCCAGTAACGTCTCCATTTGTCCCTGTCGCGTGCTAGTGTAGCCCAATGGCATCTGTTCGCTCCGGGAACATGAAGGGCCTCAAACCGATCGTTCATGATCTTGACGAAGAAGTCTGACCATCTGGTAGGTGGGCGGCCACGCGGTCTTTTGACATCCCGTGGAATCCAGTCGGTAACAGCTCTAGTCCAGCGGTCGTCTTTAAATCTCATTACGTGACCAGCCCATCTGATTTTCAACACCTTGGCAAATGAGACAGCGTCCCTGATTCTTGATCGTCGACGGATGTCAGAACTCCGGATTCTTTCTCTCATTTGAGTGAAACGTGATATTCCAAGCATAACTCTTTCTATTCTTCTTTGGGAGACCTGAATAGCGTTCTCATCTTGTTTGCGTAGGGCCCAGGTCTCTGAGGCATATGTTAATGCAGGAAGAACAGTGGAATCAAAGAGATGTGCCCGGAGCCGGAGGTTCTTCGTCCTCTTAGCTATTTCTTCGACGTTCTTGAAGGCGTTCCAAGCTGCTCTCTTCCTCCTGCGCAGCTCGGGTGCCAGGTCATTTGTCATGTTGACCTCTCGACCTAGGTACACATAGCTGTTGCATTCGGAGATGGTCGTTCCATTGAGAGCGAATGGGGCATCAGGAACGAGGCTGTTTCTCATAAACATTGTCTTCGTAAGATTCAGCTGTAGTCCTACCTTTCCACACTCACGGTCAAAGTCGGCCAGCATTTGTGCCGCTTGGCTGATGTTTGGTGTTATTAAAACAATGTCATCAGCAAAGCGGAGGTGGTGTAGTTGCCGACCATCTATCTTCACTCCCATTCCTTCCCATTCCAGTCGTCGCATGATGTTCTCGAGGGTGGCACTGAAGAGTTTCGGTGAAATGGTATCACCCTGCCGCACCCCTCTCTTGACATCAACGATCACTTCTTTGTAGAATGGTGAGATCCTGGTATTGCGGCCACATGCAAGGCCTAAAAATTAGTTTAAAATAGGGGTAGAGGGTGGAAGCTATAGTACAACGGGTAGGGTGTTTTCTTTGCATGTGGCTAACCTGGGTTCGATTCCCAGCATCCAACATGGTCCCCTGAGCACTGCCAGGAGTAATTCCTGAGTGCAGAGTCAGGAGTAACCTTTGTGCATTGCCAGGTGTGACCCCAAAAGCAAAACAAAAACAAAAAACAAACAAAAAATGGGGGTTGAGAGCCAGAGTTCAATGCATAGGGCACTTGCCTTGCATGTGGATTTGATTGCTGGCACCACCACAGCTTACTGGGTATAACCCCCCCCCCCCCCCGCAAAAAAACACACACACGGGGGGGGGGTGTTTTCAGAGAGACAAGTAGAGCTGGTTAGCTGCTTGCCTTGGATGCAGCTGACTCAGGTTCTGTTTCCAGTACTCCAAATGGTCCCCTGAGGCCTACCAGAAGTGATCCTTTAGAGTAGAGCCAAGAGTAAGCCCTGAGCACTGCTTGATGCACCCCAAAACATTACCCCCTACCCCTACCCCCACCCATATTTTTTATGGTTACATTAAGTTAACTTCCTTGCTTAAAACTCTTCAAAACTTTCCCATTTCACTTTCATTATGCTAGTTATAATAACAATTATCATTCCACCACCTTACGATTCTTGGAATGTTCTCATTAGAATACTCCAATTCCAGGTAACCTTCTTTGGTTTCCTTTTCTCCTCTGGCTCCCAAGATATCGTGGAGAACTCCTCCCCCACAGTGCACTTGCTCACTGACCTTTCAGCAACCTGAAGGCACCATCTGACCTTTATTTTCCATGGTCTCTCCAGCTTCTAGCTCACTTTCTTGCACATTTTGCACCAGTTGATGAATCTTTGGACCAGGAGTCTAGAAACAAGCTGGGCCAGTTATTTCTATTTTGAATGTGTTGGAGGTGAGGTGCAAACAGTGGGGAAATGGCTCACAAAGGCATTGGCCAAGAGATGGTACATCTTCTTGTTTGTTCTGCAAGGCAGAGACTATGACCCCCTAATAAGAAGAGGAAATAGGGGCCCACAGAGATGAAACAACAGCCAGAAATAGTAGAGAAAGTAGGGCAAAAATTAGGTGAGTATAAGGTTGATGCATTCGTTAATTCAGAGTCACCAGGATCACCAGCAATGCCCCATCAAACCCAGAGCTTACCAGTGCCACCTGCATTGGAAATTGGGCCAGTGCCGGCCTGGCATGTACATCCTCAAAATCCACACTCTGTGCCTGGGCCAGCGTGCCAGGGCCCTGCCACCCTGGGGAGGAAGCCTATGCAGTTCTCCGCTTGGAAGAGGGCCAAGGAGAGGCCCTCTCTGCTCCTGGCAGCTGTCTGGAGGCTAACACCATGCTGGATCCAACCAGCTCTTCCCTCGCGCAGCCCCTCTGCCTGTCTGGGCCAGCACAGGCTTGCCACCTGTCAGAGACGCTCCTGCAGCCAGGGCCTGGGGGGAAACCACTGTCTCTTCTCTTGAAGAAAGAACCTCTGGATGAGTCTGGATGGATGATCAAAAATGTCCTCTCTATGCCAATTGTGAACAAGAAGGAAGAGATTGTTGGGGTGGCCACGTTCTACAATCGCAAAGATGGAAAACCCTTTGACGAAATGGATGAGACGCTCATGGAGGTATGTTGGCCAGGAGCCATGCTGCCAGCAGTCCTGCAGGCAGCTTTGCCCGGGCTGGGCTGCTGGGGTCTCCACTGTGGATGGAAACGCTGCTCCGACCAGCCTCAGGCTTTATCTTCTCCGCTTTGCATCTGTATCTCCATGTGCCTGCAGGGAGGTCTTCACCTCCCTTTCCTAATGAACAGACCTTTCGAGGAGCTTTTAGGTTCAAAGACACACTGAGCAAAAAGTACAGAGAGTGGGGCCAGAGTGATAGCACAGCTGGCCTTACATGCAGCCAACCCTGGTTCAATCTCCGGCATCCCATATGGTTCATGAGCACCATCAGAAGTAATTCCAGAGTACGGAGCCAGGAGTAACCCCTGAGCATTGTCAGGTGTGGCCTAGAAACCAAAACTACAGAGAATGCTTGTATACCCTCATCTATTCATTGATACAACATGTGTTTTTCTGTGACATTATATTACAGTACAAGAGTGATGCTGGAGGGTTCAGGAATGTAGGTCAGTGGCAGAGTGGCACGAAACCCTGGGTTCAAGCCCCAGAACCCCCCCCACACACACACTCACTGACACACAGCCACACACACACATTCAAACACTCCTCTCTCTCTCTCTCTCTCTCTCTCTCACACTCACACACACACACACACACACACACAGAATACTGCTTGCTGTATATTAGTGCTTTATTTAAAGTTCCTTTCCAACTATTATCACATGTTATCCTCACCTCATCTCTTTCAAGAGAGCAGCGCATAACCTGTAAATTCTATTTTACAGCTGAGAAAATTGAACGTTACTCTATTTTTTGGAGATTGGGGGCACACCGGGTGGTGTTCAGGGATTACTCCTGGCTAGGCACACAGAAATCACCCCTGGTGGTGCTCAGGGGATCATATGGAATGCCAGGGATAGAATCCGGGTGGCTGTGTACAAAGCAAATACCATACCCACTGTACTATCACTCTAGCCCCGGGCCCTTAGATACTCTTGTGCTCAGCTATAGAGGCAGGATCAAACCTGGCCAATCTGTCTCCAGTTCCTCCTTTCTTTTCTTTCAGTCTTTGACTCAATTCCTGGGCTGGTCTGTTTTGAATCCTGACACCTATGAGTCAATGAATAAACTTGAAAACAGGAAGGATATTTTCCAAGACATGGTAAAATATCATGTGAAATGTGACAATGAAGAAATCCAGAAAATCCTGGTGGGTGAAGTTCTTTTCTTGTCTGCTCTAGTAGAGACCACAGTTGCCAGGGTGAAGTGGAATGTCAAGTTTCACGGGGGGCGGTGACTGGGGTGGTCTGTCTCCTGCTTCTTCTGCATAGCTCAGGGATGCTGTGGGTGGGTATGTGGGTGAGTGGATGGATGGTTGGTTGGGTGAGTGGATGATGATTGGGCGGATGGATGTTTGGGTGGATGCATAGACTAGTGGGTAGAAGGGTAGGTGGCTAGATGGATAGATGCTTGGATCTGTACATGCATGGGTGGATGTGTGGGTGGGTAGATGGATGCATGAATGGAGGATGGTGGGCGAGAGGGCGAATGCATGGGTTGGTATATGGGTGGGTGGGTGGGTGGAGGGATGTGTGAGAGTGGGTGGATGCATGGGTTGGTGGGTGTGTTGATGGATTGAGAGGTAAAGGTAAGGTAAAGGCCCTCCCGTTGATCATCGATTTGCTCGAGCGGGCCCAGTAACGTCTCCATTGGAGACTTTGTTGTTACTGTGTCTGGCATATCGAATACGTCACGGGGAGCTTGCCAGGCTCTGCCGGGCGGGCGAGATACTCTCGGTGGCTTGCCGGGCTCTCCGAGAGGGGCGGAGGAATCGAACTCGGGTCAGCCATGTTGGCCGCGTGTAAGGCGAACGCCCTACCTGCTGTGCTATTGCTCCAGCCCGGATTGAGAGGTAGATGGATGAATGGATGCATGTGTGTATGCATGGATGGATGTGTGGATGAATAAGTGTATGTGTTGATAGATGGATGCATGCATGCATGAGTGCATATGTGGGTGGGTAACTGGATGGGTAGATGAATTGGAAGACTAGAACCACACATCATGGTTTGATGGATAGATGGATGTCTGTTTTGGATAAACAGATAGATGTTGGATGTAGATGTGGGTGAATTAATGGTTCAGTGCCAGAAGTGCTAAATAATGGCTAGTCTGTGTGAACTAGACAGCTAATCCTTCCAGGGGCCATTTCAGTCTTGATTTAACAACTGTAGACAGTCCATTTACCACTATGTTTAGGCTAACTTAGTACTAAATATGGAGTTTCTTCAACTATAGCACCTACTATGAGAGACAAAATCTCAAAATCTCAAAATCTCAGCTCACTGAGAAGACAGATCACAGAGGAGTTTGGTGAGCAAAGAAGTATGCCAGAAGAAATCAGACGTTTATGGAGACCCTCACATTGCTTCATCACAATAAACTTCAGTTCATTTTATTTACTTATTGATTATTTTATGAGGATAGAATACAGAGTCTCACATGTGCAAGGCAAATACTCTGCTATTGAGTTATGATCCCTGGTTCACTTTGTAGTATATAAGGCAACTTATATCTTGTTTAATTCTCATATTGACCCAATAAAGGTGGGGTGGAGCCAAGGCAAGTATTTCTGTCTCTGTTATGGACATGAAAAATGGCTCAGGAGGAGAGAACAATGTCCCCAAATCACCAGCTGATCGAGTAGGTCTCACACTCTTTTGTTTTGTTTTGGGCCACTCCCAGAGCCACTCAGGGCTTACTCCTGGCTCTGCACTTAGGGGTCACTCCTGGCGGTGCTCAGGGAACCATATGGGATGCCAGTGATTGAACCTGGGTCCACTGAGCACAAGGCGGGCACCTTTACCCACCGTCCTATCTCTCTGGCCCAGGTAGCACAATCTGTATCAAGCTAATGAGCAAATTCTTTGCTTCCTTCTCTCTTTTTATTTTTTGGAGGGGGTGAGTGGGTACACCTAGTGGTTCTTAAGGTTTTCTCCTAGCTCTGCATTGAAGAATCAATCGTGGTGGTGCTCAGGGGACCATATGGGATGCCACATGCAAGGCAAGTTCCCTATTGCGTCTGCCCCTATATATTTTTTTTAGTTGTTTTTTTTTTTTTTTGTTTTGGTGGGGAGTGCCAAGAATCAGATCCAGGGCCTCAGAGTTGCAAAGGCTGTACTCTACCACTGGATTATAATCCTCATTCCATAGGTCATTTACTCACCTGGGAAAATTTCACAACAAATTTAATCCTTTCAGCCCCCAGACCAATCAGCTCAAAGGCAAAAACATTCAGTTTAAACCTTGGTTACTTGTCTCAGCCCATAATTTTAGTTAAATGATGCCGATATGATTTTTATGGAAGTGTAATCTAAGTAAACCAGTAAAAAGTAAATAGACGTTTGGGGAGCAGAGAGCTAGACCAGGGTTTAAGGTGCTTGCTCTGCAGTGCCAGGACAACAGGACAGAGGGAAGGGCGCTTGCCTTGCATGTGATTGACCTGGGTTTGATCCTCAACATCCCATATGATCCCCTGAGAACTGCCAGAAGTGATCCCTGAGTGCAGAGCCAGGAGTAACCCCTGAGCATTGCTGGGTGTGGCGCAAAAACCAAGGAAAAAAGAAAGAAAAAGATGCTTGCCTTGCATATAGCCAACTCTGGTACAATTCCTGGTACCACACATGGTTCCTCAAATACCGTCAGGAGTGATCCCTGAGCACAGAACTAGAAATAGCCACTGAACACTGCTGATTTCTGCCCCCACTGACCTTTAAAAAAGTGGTTAATGGACTGTGTTGGTAAGAAATCAGAAATAAGTGGCTGGACTTAATTTTTTTCTTTTTTAAGCCCATAAGGAAAAAAAAAACAGAGAGGGAAGGTGGATAAGGAGATAACAGCAAACTCTAACATTGAAGCATAATCATGAAAATGTGTAAGTCTGCAACTGTGTTTCACAATGATTCATTAAAATAAAACAATTAAAAAAAAAAAGAAACACCCCCCCCCCAAAATGTGAAAGGGAGGGAGCTTGTGTTGAGTCACACAAAAAGGGCCAGGAAGTGCCAGGGCTCTATGCAAAGCCCCCCCCCCCCCCCCCGCCGCCCCCCAAACAATTCTTGTTCTTCCTAGGTGCCAAGCACTATAGGACGTGATTTACAAGCATCATTTAATTTTGTTGCATAAGCATTTTTGACTTCGCACAGTCTCATTTCAATTCCTCAGTGAAGGATTTTCACTGTCCCCATTTTACAGATGAGGTCATGAGGTCAAGGCTGTGGCATAAACAGCCCTGCAAGGTAAGGAGCAGAGCTCAAGTTCGCACACAGCTTCCAAAGCCCCTGGCTTTAAGTTGCTCTTCAATGAATTCCGAAAGGGCCCTCAGCCTCTCTGAGCTGGGGTTACTGTTGCAAGGGACTTTGGAGGAAGGAGAAAAACAGAAATGGAAAAACTGTGGCATACTTGTGTCTCCTTAACCCTTTGTTTTGTCTCTGCCTTTTGGGTGTGGCAGAAAACCAGAGAGGTATATGGGAAGGAGCCATGGGAATGTGAGGAAGAGGAGCTGGCTGAGATCCTGGTGAGTGGTACAGTGACACTGACCTAGTATCCACCAGGGTCCCTGACACTTTGTTCTGATTCCCCAACAGACAGGAGCTGGGGCAGAGCTGATAGGAAGCAGGGAAGATCTTGGAACTTATTTTTGGTGGTGGTGGTGATGGCGGGGGAGATTGCCACACCCAGCAGTGCTTGCTCAGATGTTACTCCTGGGTCTGCACTCAGGAATCACTCCTGGTGGAGCTTGGGGAACCATATGGGGTGCCCGGGATCGAACCTGGGCCAGCTATGTGCAAGGCAAGTGCCCTACCCACTGTACTATCATTCCGGCCCCAAATTATAGAGTTTTTTGACTTTATCATCACACAGCAAGCAGAGCTTCCAGATGCAGAGAAATTCGAAATTAATAAATTCCACTTCAGCGACTTGCCCCTGACGGAACTGGAACTGGTGAAATGTGGGATCCAGATGTATTATGAGCTCAAAGTGGTGGAAAAATTTCACATTCCTCAGGAGGTGAGGTCAAGAACCAGGTCTGTGATGCCTCCTTTTTTTTTTTTTTTTTCTTGTTTGCTTTAAAAAAAAAATCAGTCTACAAACCGCCTGAAAGAAGTGTTTCCTTGACCTTTAGGGTTGAAAGCACTCGTTGTGTTGCATAAAGGAGTCCTGATAAGTCACGTGTTCCTCTGACCTGGGGTGTTTTGGACACTTTGGCTTCCTATGGTTCCCACGCCCCAAGTTCTGAAGGCATTGAGGAAATGGAATGCAGAAACTTATCTAGGGGTGAATAAGGCTGGGAAGTGTGGGTTCAGTTCATCTAAACAGAACTTTCTTGGGGGCCAGGAATGTTGCGCAGTGCTAGAGCACGCATCTTGCATGTACTCACATAACACCCATTTCACAAAACCAAAAGATGGCCAGGGGTTGGGCAATTGGAGAAGTGGCACCTGTTTTGTGTGTGCACAGGTCACGGACAGATCTGATTCACATAGCATCAGCCCAGAAAGTGCCAGAAGTACACATTGTTCATGTATGGGGGAAAAATGTTCTCCCTCTCCTGAGTTCCTGAGAGTCCTCCTGCTCTACTTGACCAGCAGATTCGCAGGAGAAAAACAAATAGAAGTTTGTGCCTTCTGAATGCATGAAAAAGAGCCAGAAAAACCGGGCGATTCAGAAAAGGCTCTGGCCAGCCCCCACCACATATCACCTTCAGTTAAAGAGGGAATAAGAATCCTGGACCGCAGGGCTCGATCTTTGAAAGGAGGAAGACAGTCTAGGGAAGGTGGGAGAACAGAGGCTGGTAACCAAATGCTTGCAGGCACAGAGAGGAAGCCTGCACCCCCCCTCTCCCCCCGCCCACTCTCTTGGCTCCACCCTCTGCAGTTCAATCTCCGAGAATCTCTCTTCTTGCAACAGGAAGGGAAACCACGACAAATGGACACATTTATCCCAGTATCTCTTACACAAGGGGAACCACTCACCTGTTTGCAAAACTTTCTTTGAATCTGTTGGTTCATATAAATAACCAGCTTAAGCATTTTTCAAGCCCAGCTTTTCTTTTGAACAGGTGTTTCTCTCTTTGTCTCCTCTCACATCGAAGTATATTCATTTAACTAAAAACTATTTTGGTTTCACTAAAACAAACAAACAAAAGCCAAATAACCAGCTTAAAAATAATCTTTGTGTCAGGGTCCAGAGGGATAGGACAGTGAGGAAGGCACTTGTCTTGCTGTCGAGGGTTTGATCCCCAACACCACAATACGGTCCCTACCCCACTGGGAGTGGTTCCTTTGCACAGAGCCAGGAGTCACCCCTCAGCACAGCCAGGTGTGGCCCCAAGCCCGAATAAATAAATAATCCTAAATCCAAGGGACAATTTTAAGGTCTGTAATTTAATCTTCCATATGTACTTTTATCCCTCTTTCTTTCTTTCTTCATCTCTCCTTTCTCTCCCCCCCGCACTTATACTTTGATTTTTCTCTTGTCTCTCCCCTTGCTTCTCTCTTTCTCTCTCTCTTCTCCCTCTCTCTCTCTGTCTCTCTCTCTTTTTTAATAAGCAAAACCTTGATTTAATTAAGTCTCTCTCTCTTTTAACTAACCCTCCAGTTATGCTGATGTGCACTCAGGTTGGAGACCCCCCAATTCACAGACCTGTTTGGTTTCACTCTGTGAGGCAGGGTGTGTGGGGGTCCCCAGTGAAGATCACAAGAGGAGTGAGTTTTGTCTCCTCAGCTGCATGATATTCCCATTTCACTGTAGCTAACACTGGGGCCAGAGCCATAGCACAGCTGGTAGGGTGCTTGCCTTTTACGCAGCTGACCAGGGTTTGATCATCAGCCCCCTGAATACTCCCAGAGCCCCACCAGAAGTGACCCTTGTGTGCAGAGCCAGGAGTAAGCCCTGAGCACATCCAGGTATGTTCCAAAAAAAAAAAAAAAACCCAAAATGTAAGTAGCACTTGGCAAGTTGCTGTCATGGCACTGATGCCTCTACAGATTTGCTCCCAAGCTCCCTGGGGAGCTGGGCTCAAAAGGCCCCAGGATGCTGTGCTCAGAGGTGCAGGGCTCCAGGCCGGGCTCGAAGGACCCCAGGGTAGTGCCCTGGAGGCCTCTAAGATGCTGCGCTCAGAGGCCCCCAGGATGCTGCGTTGGCAGGCACCCCAGAGCGGGGTGCACCTGTCTCATGGCTGTGCTCATGTCTGCAGGTGCTGGTGCGGTTCATGTACTCGCTCAGTAAAGGCTACCGCAGGATCACCTACCACAACTGGCGGCATGGCTTCAACGTGGGTCAGACCATGTTCTCACTACTGGTGGTATGTGGGTGCAGGGGGTGGGTGGTGTGTGGGCAGCTGCAGGGTTTGCCTGGTCTTTATCCTGAAGTGGCATGCATGCTTAGTGAAAATGAATCCCAAGACCAGAGAAGCATAGGAGCAGCAACAAATTAAAAAAAATATATATATATATATATAAAGAGAGAGAGCACTTTAGCACTGTCGTCCCAGTGTTCATCAATTTGCTCAAGTGGGCACCAGTAACGTCTCCATTGTGAGACTTGTTGTTACTGTGCTTGGCATAGCGAATACACCACGGGGAGCTTGCCAGGCTCTGCTGTGTGTAGCTACTCTCAGTAGCTTGCCGGGTTCTCCGAGAGGGATGGAAGAATAGCACATTGGATAGGGCATTTGCCTTGCTTGCAGCCAACCTGGGTTCGATTCCCAGCATCCCATATGGTTCCCTGAGCACCAACAAAAAACCAAAAAAAAAAACAACAAAAAAACACCATTTTTAAGGATGTGAGTCAGGGCACTGAGTGCTCTGCAGTCACTTTCATGACCCCAAACAGAAACTGTCCCCCTATTACGCAGCTGCCTTGGTGAGCCGCCCCTGCCCTGCCCCCGCTCCCCACCCCCATCTGAGTGTGAGTCTCACAGCAGTCAGCCTACAGTGTTTGCCTTCTGAGCCAGCCCCTTGTTTGTTGTTGTTGTTGTTTGTTTTGTTTTGTTGGCCACACTTGGTGATGCTCAGGGGTTACTCCTAGCTCTGCACTCAGGAATTAATCCTGGTGGTGCTTGGGGGACCAAATGGGATGCCAGATAGAAACTTGGATCAGCCACATGCAAGGCGAGCAAGTACCCTCCCCGCTGTCCTTTCTCTTTGGCCCTTCTTCCTTTTTTCTTTCCTTCCCCTGGTTGGTCAAGCCGGAGGGCAAGAGGGAGGAATTCTGGCCAGAGGGGCGAGTTGTGGCTCTACTCTCATCGGATTATTTCTGAGAGCTTTGTTTGGCGTTGTACCTCTGTTGCTCTCTTGAACCCTCCACGGCAACACCCTGTGCAAACAAGAGTTATTATTTCAAGCTGTTCAGGGCAAGATTCTCCTGGGACACACACTCAAGCCTATAGAGCTGACTGGGAGGGTTGTGTTTCTAGTCTGGTCATGTTCGATGGCCCTGCGATCCTAAAACCTAATGGCCACAGTTTCTCAACAAACAGTCCCACACACTCCAGCTCCAGGGAGCAGACGGGAAGATGGAGGCCCAAGGGCTCCATGGGCTCAGCTCTGTCCAACGCTTCCAACACTCTGGATAGCTCTGTCCAACACTTCTAGCCTTGAACGTCCTTCCTGCCAGAAACCTTTCAGTCCTTGGTAAACCCTACGGAGTCACAGTTAGACATATACTTCCAAGCTCCCTATTAGTCCTCACCTGCTTAGCCAGCCCTCAGCCCCCTCCAGAGTGAGCGGTCCTCTGACTGTCCTTCCAGACGGGGAAACTGAAGCGGTACTTCACGGATCTGGAGGCCTTGGCCATGGTCACCGCGGCCTTCTGCCATGACATTGACCACAGAGGCACCAACAACCTCTACCAGATGAAGTGAGTCAACCCCCTCACCCGCTCCTGCCCTGGGTTTTGTTGTTCAAGTCTGACTGGCTAGACTCATCTGTGGGAATAGAGGTGGGAGTGGGGGGGGGGTGCATCTTACTCAGATTCTCTGTCTCTCTCTCTCTCTCTCTCTCTCTCTCTCTCCCTCTCTCTCTCTTCCCCCCCCTCATCCTTTGGCTCCAGTGAAATCCCTGCAATAGGCACCTAACTCTGTCAGCACCTCAATGTTTGGGGAAAATGTTGCCTTTCATTCCGGAGGAACTTCATAGATGTGACTAAGTGAAGAGTACTGGAATATTGGGGTATCTTGGATGGTGCAAGTGGACCCCACCTCATGAGAGGGGTTCTTCAAAGAAGGAGCTAGGAGGCCTGAGAAAAGAGAAGGGGGGGCCAGAGAGATAGTACAGCTGTAGGGTGTTTGCCTTGCATGAGGCTGGCTCAGGTTCGATCCCCAGCATCCCATATGGTTCCCTGAGCACCACCAGGAGTGATCCCTGAGTGCAGAGCTAGGAGTAACCCCTGAGCATTGCAGGTGTGACCCTCCAAAACAAAACAAAACAAAACAAAAGCAAAAAGTGATGCTGCAGTGAGGCGGGTTCTCAGATGGAGGATGGTGCCAAGCCCAGAAATGCAGGCTGTCTGGAGAAGCTAGAGAAGGCCAGGAAGAGCTTCCCCCTCCAGCCACCAAAAGGAATGCAGCCCCCCACCCCCCACCCCGCAGATCTACTTCCGGCTTCGGAATTCCGGAGCTATAAAATGATAAATGGTGGCTTTAAGTCATGACATCAACAGCAATTTATTTTCGCAGCAGCAATAGGAAAAAATATATCAAACTCCCTCCGTCTCCTCCTCCCCTTCCTCCTTGGCTAAACTAATTTGAGCGCAGACGCCAGACACCGAAGTCAGTCTGTTCACCACAGTAGGTCGCTCTTGGCCTTATAACTCTCCAGACACTCACAGGGCAGCTTCTGCTCAGCAGAGGAGATGCCTGGGAGAGCGGGTCAGACTCATCAGAAAACACTCACCACATCCCCTCAGAGCCAAGACAGCCTCTGAGCACCGTGCGAGAGCTACACTGTCAGTGGGCCCTGGGGACCCCTTTGAGGACTGGGCAGAGCTGGGACTGCCCCTCCACCCTCATCCTACCCTCTAGCAAGATTCAAACCTGCTCTCAGAGTCTCTTAAGCTGTGCGCATACTCCATGGCTTGAGCCTGTGTTCACATGTTTTACCTGTGTGAAAGGAAGTGTTGAGAGCACAGCAAATCCTCGGGTATTTGCTGAACAGACATGAATGAACACAGAGCCTGGGGGAGTTCACCAGCATCAGGGAGGGAGGACTAGGGGTTGGGTGACCTTCATAGTGTCCGTGGGTGGTTAGAAGGGACTCACGTACCTCTAACAGTGCGTGTGGGGGCGTGTTTATGCCTTTTTTAATTTGGGGAGATATGTCCATACTGAGCAATAAACTGTCTAAGGCATTCAGAACCCCAAAGAGGCCACGGCTGGGCCAGAGTGATTGTACAACAGATAGTACTTGCAGGAGATCAACCCAAGTTTGATCCCTATCACCCATATGGTCCCCCAAGCACTGTCAGGAGTGATCCCTGAGTGCAAAGCCAGGAGTAGCTCTTGAACAGCACTGGGTGTGGCTCCAGAAAACAACAAAATAAAAATAAAATCTCCTCATTGACTTAAAAAAGAAAAAAAGAGGCCAAGGCTCATTTGGAGAGAAAACCGAGAGTTAGGGCCCGAGATGAGTCCTGTTCCCCACAGCTGGCCGCGGGAGATTCTCCCTCACATCCCCACACATCATCCTCTCTGGCACAGAATCAGGAGGAGGGAATCTGAATGATGCCTGCACCCTCTCCCCTGGCCGTTCCATGCTGATTCTCGATCTCTCTCATTCAGATCCCAGAACCCGCTGGCCAAGCTCCATGGGTCATCCATCTTGGAGAGACACCACTTGGAGTTTGGAAAAACACTGCTAAGAGATGACGTAAGTTGGAGAAGTCGCCTGTCCTGGCTTCCGGCCTGCCCAGGAGAGGACCATCTCCTGGAACCTGAGCAGTGCGAGACAGTGCTTCTCCCCTGCGCCCGGGGACATGCTTGATCATCGGGTGACCCATCCCTTCTCACATCTCTTTACTGCTTTCTTCTTAGGCCCTGAATATCTTTCAAAATCTCAATCGCAGGCAGCATGAGCACGCAATTCACATGATGGACATAGCCATCATTGCCACAGACCTCGCCTTATATTTCAAGTTGGTACCCCTCCCGTTTTTTGTTGTTTTTTTTTGGGGGGGGGGAGGTGAGGGACATAGTTGGAAGTTCTCAGAGGTTGCTCCTAGCTCTGCACTCAGGAATTACTCCTGACAGGCTCAGGGGTACCTTACGGGATGCCTGGGATTGAACCTAGGTCGGCCACAAGCAAGGCAAATCCCCTTCCTTCTGTACTATGGTTCTTGTCCCACAAAGGAGTTAAGAACTTGTATTTGTTTTGCTTTTAGGCCATATTCAATGGTTCTTGGAGCAACCCCTTGTGCAGGGGCCTGGGGAAGTTTCTGGTGGGGCCATCCTTTGCCATGCCAGTGGGGTTGAACCTGGCTCCCACAAAGCATGTGCTCAACCTGCTGGACTGCCTCTCTCTCTGGCCTGGAAGACCCTCCCATTTTAGCAATAACAACGATGGTAACAATAGTCAGCACCTTAGTTCTGATTGGTCTGATCAACCTTTGGAGAAGACACTAGGACTGAATTAGTCTTAGACATGACTCTGAGCTGTGTCTGTTATCTCAGGCTAAGGTAACAAACTGGTGTCTTTGGTAGGAAGAGAACCATGTTTCAGAAAATCGTGGACCAGTCTAAGACATATGAGAGTGAACAGGAGTGGACGCAGTACATGATGCTGGAGCAGACTCGGAAGGAGATTGTTATGTGAGTTAAAAGGGGCTTCGATGGTTCAGAGGGATAGTACAGTGAGGAAGGCACTTGCCTTGCATTTGGTCAACCTGGATTTGATACCCAGTATCCCATATGGTTCCCTGAGAACTGCTGGGAGTAATTCCTGAATGCAAGAGCCAGGAATAGCCCCTGAGCATTGCTGGGTGTACCCCCCCCCCAAAAAAAAAGAAAAAAGAAATTATAAAATTATTTCCAACACACAAGTTTTTATTGTTTTCATATTTTAAAAAAAGCTCAAGGTCAGGACTTCAATCACTGTAGAAGCCAGCAAAAACATTGATTCAAAAACATATATGCACACCTATATTCATTGCTGCTTTTAGTATGATAGGCAGGATTTGGAAGCAACCCGAAGGTCCAACAAGAGATGAATGGATAAAGTTGTCATGCTACAGAAACACAATGGAATACTATGCAGCCATAAAAATAAAGTTATGCAGTTCATGGCAACTTGGATGGAACTGAAGGACATTGTGCTGACCAAAATAAGCCAGAGGCAGAAGGACAAATATGGGATGTTCTCTCTCATAAGTAGTATATAGAGAACAAATAAAGGGTATAGACAATCACTGTCACTGTCACTGTCCTTCCATTGTTTATCGATTTGCTCCAGTGGGCCCAGTAACATTGACTTGTTACTGTGTTTGGCATATTGAATACGTCACGGGTAGCTTGCCAGGCTTTGCCGTGTGGGCAAGATACTCTTGGTAGCTTGCCGGGCTCTCTGAGAGGGGCGGAGGAATCGAACTTGAGTTGGCAATGTTGGCCACTTGCAAGGCAAATGCCCTACCTGCTGTGCTATTGCTCCAGCCCAGTATAGGCAATATCAATCAAAAAACAAATAAAACTCTTAGATACCAAACTATAGACCTGCAAGTATCAAGTTTGGGGGAAGGGGTTGAGGGGAATGAGTAGGTTGCCTGGAAATATGGAGAGTCTGGAGGACATGGATGGAGGGAAGGGGATGAAGGGAATGAGTAGGTTGCCGGGAAGTAACATGAAACATAAGGTGGAGAGTCTGGAGGACATGGATGGAGGCTGAGGGATGCACCCAAACCATCAAGTGTCATCAAGAAATAATGCAAGGAGGTGTGGGAGGGAAGGAATGTCAAACTGGAGGTGATGGGGTGGGGTGGAAGAGTCATGGACACTTTGGCCTTGGGGTCTGGTGCAATAACTTTGTACATCAGCATCACTAACTTCAATATTATTGTGACCCTATTACCATAATAAAAAATATTTAAGCCAGACAACTGGAGAGATAGTACTGGAGTTAAGGTGCTCACTTGCATTGCGTAGTGCCTGGTTTGAAATTTTGGCACTGCATATGGTCCCCTGAGCACTGCCAGAGGTCACTCCTGAACACAGAGTAAGGAGCAGCTCATAAACACTACCAGGTGTGCCCCCCATGCAAAAAAGAAAAACTTAACTAGTACAATAGCAAGGATATGGAAACAACCACAATATCCCATGACAAGTGATTGGATAAAGAAGTCGTGGTGTATACTCAGAAGATACCCATGAAAGTAGAAGAAAAGACAAATTCTTTCAGTTTGCTGCAATTTGCATGGCATTATGTTAAGTGATGTAAGTCAGAGGGAGAAAGACAAATACCATATGACCTCACTCATATAGAGAAACAAAAGAGGACACTATTGAATGTAGACAGACCCTTGGCCTTTGTGAAAGAAAGATCACCAAGCAATGGGGGGGGGGGGGGAGGGAGGAAGAGGGAAATTAGAGGTGGTATGGTGGTGGGAGTCGGGGGTCTGGGGAACTTTGGTGATGGTGAAGGTGCTATAATTTTGTTCGTTGAAACCATAAAAGTTATGTAATCATGCTATTGAAATTACAGTAAATTTTTTTCTTTGTGTTTTGGGTCATGCCTGACAATAATTACCAGGGCTTACTCCTGGCTGTATGCTCAGGGATCACTCCTGGCAGGCGTAGGGAACCATGTGGGGTGCCTGGATCAAACCCAGGTTGGTCACGTTCAAGGCAAGCAGCCTACCTACTGTTATATCATTAAGGCCACCAAAATTACAGTAAAAACATTAAATGATAAAAGAACATAAATACGGTTTTAAATTAAAAATGGTATTAAGATGTATATGTTAAACCCCCCCCCCCCCCCCCCACCACCACCACCACCACTACCACCACCAAACAAAGAGATGCAGAGCTAAGGCTTCCTCATTGAGGAGAGAAAACAGGCTTAGGTCAGGACAGATCTGTAAGGAACAATTTTAGATGTAAATATCTTTCCAAAAGGTCCACTATTGCCCAGTCTTTAAGAGACTCTTACTCACAGTGCTAATTCTCCAATCCTCAGCTCTCCGTTTCAAAGGTCTAACATTAACCCGTACAACTGTTTTGTGACCTTTAATTCTGAACCCGTGTTTATCACAAGAGTTCAAGTCTGTCTCTGAGAACAGAAGGTTAGGTTGGGTTTCCTGACCCCTCCAGCCTCTTTCTGCCTTTTTTGTTTGGTTTGGGTTTGAGGCCACACCAAATGAAGCTCATTTCATTTCAGTGTCACTCTACTTTGCCTTTTGATACGAGAGTTCAGTCCATTTACATGTAGAGAAATTATCAATATGCAGAAATTTGTGTCCATCTTTTCTATGAGTATTTTGGTTGTTTTTACCATTCACCTTTTACAGGACACCATTCACTATCCCTTGCAGAGCTGGTTTAGTTGCTACAAATGCTTGCAGCTGTAGTTTGTCTGAGAATGTTGTTGTTATTTTGGGTTTTGGGGCCACACCTGAAGGTGCTAATAGCTCACACCTGACTCAGGGATCGTTCCCTGTGGGCTCTGGGAACCATAGGGTCTGGGGAAATGAACCGTGGGTTCAGCTACGTGCAAGGTTAGTGCCCTAACCATTGTACTATCTCTCCAGCCCCCTGAGAATTTTTTTTTAAATCCTTCCTCAAATCTGAGTGATCGCCTCGGAGGGTAGAGGATTCTTGGTGGAGGGTCATTTCTTTCAGTACTTTGAATGTACCATTCCATTCTTCTCTTGCTTGTATTGCTTCATCGGGGAAATAGAATGCTCCTTTTATTGCCAAATATGCCTTAAATTTTCTACACTGGGGATCAGGGTGCACACACCTGATTACTCAGGGTTACTCCCGGCTCTGTGCTGGGGTTCACTCGTGGTGGTACTTGTGGAGGGGCATATGGGGTCCTGGGGATTGAACCAAGGTTGGTTGCACACAAGGTAAATGCCTTAACCCTGTAATATCTCTTCAGCTCTTCTCTTCAGTTTTCAAAAGCTCTTTTCTAATACTTCTTTACTGATTATGCTGTATACTGTGTGACTTTCAGCTTCCTCCATTTTGCTGTTGAGTCTTATTACAGTTTCGTTTAGCTCCTTTCTTTCTGTTTGACATTGTTTCATTTCTTTGAGTTTATTGATTCCCAACATTTCCTCGACTCAGTGAACATTGAAGGGATTGTTGCTCTGAGGTCATTCTTGAGCAGTTTAGAGTGTTCTGATGTTGTTGAGGATTAATTCTGGACTTATGTCCCCATCCATTGATACAGCTGAATTCCTTCATGTTTTCATTATTCCTGGTGTTTCACAGAAGCTAAGATTGGAACTCTGAGTTTTGGCTGGCCTGAACAACTCTCAATATTCCTAGTCACAATATTAGGCTAGTGTTTGTGACCTAAATTCTCAGATGTCTTGTGAGAATTTTTTTCAATGTCTGCAAGGATAAACTGGTGCCCAGGGTTCTGAGTTGTGTGACTTTGTAGGCACCTTGTCCTGTAGCTGCTGTAGTGCTAATGTCTAACTGGTCTGAGCCCTGCCCAAGGTTCATGGTGGCTGCTGTCTCACGGTCCAGTTGACTTGAGCAATAACAAGAGTGTGGTCACATGTATCCTAATCACAGCTATTCAGCTCACTGATCTTTGTAGCTACTGGGGTGGGGGGTCGGGGTTGTATTTGTCAGTACCAGTTTGGGGATGTGTCTGAGGGATGGGACTCACTCGGGTGTGTCTGCTCCCTGCTGGGCCTCTGGTTTGGGTTTGGTTTTGTAATTTTTTTGGTCACACCTGGTGATACTCAGTATCTACTCCTGATGACTGTGCTCAGGACTCACTCCTGGTGGAGTTCAGGAACTTTGTGGTACTGGGGATGAGACTTAGCCTCTCCATATACAAAGCATGCATAACAGCCCTTTGATTGTTAACCCTCAGTTGTGGCTTAGGAAATGAGTACTCAAGGCTGTGACCCGGGGTGTCTGTGCACTGTCTGCACTGAGAACAGTCACTGTGGGTGCCAAGATGAACGGCTTGTAACCTTTGCACTGGGTGTCTTATAATTTCCTTCCTTTCTTTCTTTCTTTCTTTCTTTCTTTCTTTCTTTCTTTCTTTCTTTCTTTCTTCTCTTCCTTTCCCTTCCTTCCCTTCACTCCCTCCCTCCTTTCTTTTCCTCCCTCCTCCTTTCCCTCCCTCCCTCCCTTCCTTCCTTCCTTCCTTCCTTCCTTCCTTCCTTCCTTCCTTCCTTCCTTCCTTCCTTCCTTTCCTTCTTCCTCCCTCCTTCCTTCTCCATACCTGACAGTGCTCTGGGCTCATTCCTGACTCTCAGGGGTCACTTCTGGTGGGGCTTAGGAAACCTTATATGGTACTGGAAATGGAGACTGGGTTGGCTGTGTGCAAGGAAGGTACTGACTCTAATTTCTTTCTTTTTTTACTTAATAAAGTTTTTATTTTTCAAAATATACAGTTGGGACCTGCTCACGCATCTTCCCTTGCAGCTGGGGCGTCCCCACCCTTGGTGTTTCTGGTGTAAATTACTTGAGCTCTGTGCTTTGAAATCAGCTTATTAAATCTTTTACTAAGAAGCTCCTGAAGGGAAGCTCTGGCCAAGGACCCCCGAATCTTCAGCCTCTCAGACACAACAGCAGGGGTGATAAGCTTCTAGATGGGGACTTCCTTGCACAGCTTGTCATAGGTGGCTTTG